TCTTGTACTGGGGAGCCCAGAACTGGACGCAGTACTCCAGATGTGGCCTCACCAGGGCTGAGTAGAGGGGGATGATCACTTCCCTCGACCTGCTGGAGACGCTTTTCTTAATGCACCCCAGGATCCTGTTGGCCTTCTTGGCCACCAGGGCACACTGCTGCCTCATGGTCAACTTGTCGTCTACCATGACACCCAGGTCCCTCTCTGCGGGGCTGCTCTCCAGCAGGTCCACGCCTAATCTGTACTGGTGTCCAGGGTTATTCCTCCCCAAGTGCAGGACCCTGCACTTGCCYYTGTTGAACCTCATGAGGTTTCTCGCCGCCCAGTCCYCCAGCCTGTCCAGGTCCCTCTGGATGGCAGYACAGCCCTCAGGGCTATCAGCTACTCCWCCCAGTTTGGTATCGTCGGCAAATAAATATCACATATCTGTGCAGTATAAAAATAGCACAGAAACCAATTAAGTTGTCTCAGCAATTAAGTCATCATGAAGACCTCAAATCTGCATTTGAAATACCATTCGTAGAAAAATATTAATATTCTGGTGGGTACACTCCATTTCTTTGGCTGCAGGTAATGAAACAAGGTAAAATGCAGTGCAAAATCAAGTCAGTTATATCAAAATCTGGGAATATTTGAAAAACAGCACATTTATTTATCTATTTCTTTAATGGTTCAACTACTGTATCTTTCATTGCTTTGGATGGAGCATTATCTTTATTAAAATATATTTCTCAATGTTTTAAGAAAAGATACATTAAGAAGGATTTTGGAATTTTCTGAAATTGTAACCTTATTGCTACAAATTAAATATTGATTTTAGGCTAATTTAAATAGAAAATCATTACCAATGCTGCAAGACCTCCCAAGGGTTTCCTATTTAGTTTCTCATGAACAAGCAAATGAAACACTATCCATTTGCATTTCTCTTGTAAAGYGTAATTGCTTACAAGTACTGGACAAACCACATCAAATCAGTTTCTCCAGCAGAACAAATGACGCACTACTTATTACTTAATGACAAACTAAAATGACTTATTAATTTGTCTGCTGTACTTTCAATTCAATCTGGTATCTTCTAGAGGCATTAAATTATAAAAGTGATTTGCAGAAACCTTAAAACAAAATGAACAGATACAAGCTAMACCCGAGATGCCCTGTTTTTTTCTTATTGTTTTTCTTCGACAATATATTACCGTAATTCTCTCTCAGAAGAAAGAGTAACTTTTGCCTTGTCCTGCTTTTCCCTTTCTTCATCCAAACACCATATACTCCCGAAACCTCTGACATCTTACAGGCATTTTTTGATTCCTTCSTTACTTTCTGGTCCTTAACTTCCTCTCTGACATCCCTTCTATGGCAATGCTACTTATCATTTCTCTAGGATTTGTAGTCTCTGATCAATTTGTCTGTGTTTGCTTTACTAGTCTGATGGGAGTGAATTTATGCAGTGAAACAGTTGGTGCTAAGAATCTAATGAGCCTTAGATCCAATGTCCACATTATGTGCATTTTAGGAGACGTTACTTTGGATTTTTTTCTAGCCTCCTCTTTTGCCAATGGCTAGATCATAATACGTGTTTTTGTGGAATGTATCTTCTGGTTTATTTTCATCTGAAAAAGAATCTTTTTTATTCCTGCAAAGACTCTCCAAATCACAAGTTTGAAAGAAATAAGGAGGGCCAATCAATAGATTCATTTTTTTTGATTCAAACTAATATCAGATGCACTGGTGTCATTTGTCTCACATAGCTTTAATGTAGAAGAAATGTATCTAACATACTTTGAGTAATAAGTTATATTTCTCTTTAATTCATCTGTTCTTAACTAAAATTCTAAAATAATAATTGTGTTATTCCTTCAGTAGACTTTGAAATGAACTAACAATAGTGCAATAATTTATACTAAGTCAGCAAAAATAAAATATACTGTGAAAAAAAAGTTATTATTCTCTGTGATAAGTTCTTCTTTAATCCTGTTAGGATTATTTTATTCTTCTCCCCAAACCTTTCAAACTCGTCTTCCATCTACAGCAGCCTGCAATGCCTGCTCAGTGTTTATATTTTCCAGAGGAAATTGCCATAGGTCATTGAAGTCTGTGTGTTCCTGCTTCAGAAGGACAAATTCTGTGCACACAAATTGGAGCAAAAATAACTCTTGCTTTGACCAGTGAACAGGAATATATCAAACCCTCTGTTTTGGAAACTCTGACTCAGGTTCCCATGAAAATGAATCTGAAAAAAAAWATATATATATTTACATATTAGACCATTAGGTACCCTTAGATTTCTTCCTAACCAACAAGCACAACTCTTTTTCTCTCTCTTTTTTTTTTTTTTTCAAATAGCTCATGTACATCTATCAGTAGATACCAGAAGCTGGGAATAACATCAAATATTCTAAATCATGAAACAGAGAAGATAAAATCTTAAGAGTCAGCAGTAGTACCTTTCTATGGACTCCTATATATGACTCCTATAATATACTTGATATTAGGCACCTATGACATATTTTAGCTTAGTTATTACTTACTTTAATGCTTATATTTCCCAGGGCCTTTTAGTATCCTCCCACCTCTGCCTGAAAATATTTTACCTCCATTCTTCCAACTGTTTGATCTACGCACTCAGGTCCCAGTGTCTTCTGTTTGATTATAGAGCTTATCTAAAGTTTCCCTTTTAGCAACTTGAAGATTTCAATCATTTATTTTCCAAAAGGTCATTTTCTTTTCTAGTGAGTGCTGTAGCTGAGTTCTTTCTCCAGACATTCTCTGTTAATTAATCCTTTTATATCCTTTATTACAGTTATTGTCTTTTTCAAGACCTTTCTTCAATTACTTTGATGAGTCTGACATTAGATAGAGCAGCCTCGACTAGGTCTAACAAGTCCCTCTCAAAATGTTGAAATAGTTTTTCGTGACTTCTGCTCAGTGTTTGATTTTATGATGTGTTTTCCAACGTTTTCTTTTCTTTTTTTCAAAGAAACTATGGATCTACTTCTCTGCTTTGTCACCCCAGTTGTCAGATAGCATATTGTCACTAAATCAGTAGAGTGTAGTAAAATGAAATTACTACTGCAGCCTGGAGGATTATACCACTGGGATCTAATTCTCAAAGTTTTATGATTGTTTTTTCTTATTGAAGTGAAACATTGCCATTGTAAATGTGGGCAGTGTGGTCTTTAAAACAGGTCTGTTTCTCAAAGGAAACAAAACAAGAGATACAGAAGTTGATCTTATTTTCTAGTGTCTTTTTGTTTTGCTGTATACTCACAATTTGTTTTTCATGAACAAGAAGCAGCAAATATAGAACCAGACAAATTTCCTTTATGATGAGTCTCACTATCTCAGCTGTGCATTTAGCTGGCTTCATCTTCCAGGCTTCTCCTGTGCTTATTGAACTATTGGGGTACCTTGTCTTGTTTCCTTCAGGGTGTCATGCATCCTGCTGTCCTTATAATTTAAGCAAGCCATAGCTCAGGAGTCAGTAACGTAAGTATCTTTTGTAGTTGTTCAGAAACCTAAAGAAACTGCTTGAAAAAGTTTGATGAAATTGGATACACTCCTGTTAGTCTGTGCGTATGTTTTCATTTGCATGAAAAAGGCTTAAACAAAATCTGTTTAATGGATGTTTATACGAATGTCCAAGCATTTCGTCATAATGGCATGTCCTAAATACACATGTACAGAGTGGTCTGGAGAATATTTATCTGCTTAAGTTATTTTTTCTTTTGTACATTTTCTCCTAAAACGTATTGTAACATACATACAAGCTAAGAAAAATGAACATTTCACTTATTATCCCAGTATAACCGTATAACCATTTAATTGACACAGTGTATGTGATAATACATACAAAAAAAAAAAAAANAAAAAAAAAAGAATACAAGTTAGTCCTTTTCTTTAGACAATTCCTTTCTAAATAATACACACTGTACAGCTTAAATAAATATAAGGTCTAACATTCTCCAGATGGTGAGAGGTATAGACATACGTATATTTTTCTACTTCAGACTGAATTATGTAGGCTTGTAACAATAGAAAGATTTAGACCATTATCATCTCTTTGGTTACCACAGAGATGCACAGCATTACAAAAACAAATGTAATTTATGTAATATCTGCTAATATCTTTTTGTAGTGTTATATTTTTCTTTTACTCTGCTCTGGTGTGTCTTACACAGAATCTATTTGGCTTGATCCCTCCAGCAATGAAATAAGTTCTTGATATTCCCTTTTTGTAATCATTTATTACAGGATTTCTTAAAAAGTCTGAGCTAGACTTTAAAATTGCACTTACGTTTAGTTAAATTTTGCARTCTTGATCATGGAAATTATCTGTGGATTTAAGTAATACAGATGCCAATCTTCTATTCATAAACAGTCTATGTCCGTTCTTGGGCTCCCATGGAAGTTTTGCTTTTTTCTCAAAATTTGAAGCATAACTAAGAATAAAAGTGTGGAGCAGACTTAGTGTTTGATATCTCTCTGCTTTTACTGAGAAGTGGTGCTTCGTCCACAGGCAGTCCAGCCATTTTATGGAAATGGCAAGTAACAGCTGAACAATCTTTAGGTTTCCTTTTGGAAATACGACCTCTTACCTTCAGCATTTCCTGAAATATTTTATTCCATTTGTTATTAATATGAGCCTTTATGTCATTGCATATGTTTSCTTTCTTATTTTCTGTTCACCAATTATTTTTCCTCCTTTAAAGGGTTCCTTCTTGTATTCTCCTGTTGCTAATCCACACACGATATGAGTATTTGAAAGCTAATGACATGAAAGGTCMTTTGGATATATGGCATAATTATGATGATTAATTTCTTTTTGTCACTTGCCATCCATATCTACCATGTGTTTAACAAGTTTTTCTATTAGAAACATTGAAGCTAATTTTTCTAAGGCTTTGAATATTTTCAGCATATGTGCAATGTGTATTATTGAAATTAATTATATTTCACAGATTAAGTGATGGTATCCTAATTCATGGATGTGAGAACTACATCAAATGGTTGGAGATATAGTAAATACTGTGGTGATCCATAGGAAGTGCCACTACTCTTTAAAGTCAGACGATAAAGAGACCTGTCCTTGACAATTTAGGACAATTGTTTATGAATTAAAAAGGTATTTTAACTTGGTAAAGAATAGAGTCTATCCATCAACATTTTCTTCCAACTTTCAAATATATGTGTTTTTCCTACATTTAAAGTGATTATGGTAATATTTAATGACTTATATATCTTCTCCAATGAACATCAGGAATAGGACATCAGAAATAGAGAAATTCTTTAGTGATAGATGACAAGGTGTTTGAGCTTTATGAGATGATTTGGGATAAAAAATATCTATAGAAAGAAATGAAAGTCTCTACAAGCTACTTGTAGTTTAGCAGTAATTGTATTTTAATTAATTTTAATTTAATTTGCAGACTATTGTCTGGTATCAAATATTTTATTACAATTTTTTGATTTCAATTTAATTCTCTCTTAAATGTTATATTTAATTATGTTCCTTAGAGATTCTGTGACCTTTCTTCACTCCAAAGACTTGTTAGTGATCTCCATTAGGGATCAAGAAACTTTTTTATCATCTACTAGGTAGCAGAAGAAAGGAACAGCTATGGTTAGAATCAAAACAYTGCATGGAAAAACTCCCACCAAGATCTAAACAGCAAAAATCTCCTTAATTTGAATGATGATATTTGTGTGGTTCAAACTATATTAATTCAGTAATCCTGAATTTTATTCTGGAGTACTTTGAAGATAAATATGTATTTTGTGAGTTTTCTTTTGTAGACTGAAAGGATAGACATATAAAATGTCATAAATATATTTTAATTGAAAGATGTTATTAAAAAAATACACATCTACTAGTGATAGAGGTGGAAGTCTTCAAAAACATGTCTGGTGTCCAGGTGGTCATTTTATAGATTGAGGGAATCCATTCAGCTACTTGGCCACCATTATATGTGATGTGATATCACATCATATCACGTGATGTGAAATCACATTTTAATTATTACTGCKTATTACTTACTTTAATTATTTTTAAGATAAAATGAAGAACAGTCACACATCCCCTTCTCCCCCCCCCCAAATTTTTGCACAAATACGGTGTTCTACCGTTCTTTGGAACCAGTGAAATATAACTGTTGTCTGAGACCATGACTAAGCACAGTTAGAAGATTTCCCAATAACTTGCCAGGAGAGATTTTGCAAATTAGGTCCTGAAGCCATAAATACTCAACAGGGAGTAAGGGAAGAAAATGGAGCACAAGGGAACACTTGCTTGATAGCCTGTTTTGCTGAGCAGATGGGCTGCTATGCTCAGCATAAATGCTGCTTTTTAAAGTTATCGCGTTCATATTTGTGTGTAGAGAATTATAACATTTCAATCTGGAAGTGGCAAAAGCATGGATAGTGTTGCTGTTTCCAAACGTGAAAGGCAGTGCATTCTCCTGGCCAAATTTTGATGAAAAAAAAGCTTTTGAAAGATGTAAAAGCAATAAGGATAATTTCAACATTTTTTATCTTCTAGTGTTGGTGTATGAGGTCCACGTATACACAGGATCTAAACTTGGTGCTGAAACAGATTCGAATGTTTACATCAATCTTWTTGGAACAAGAGGAGATGCTGGCAAGAGGAAGCTCCATAGATCAAAGAATAATAATGTAAAATTTCAACGTGGACAGGTGAAGTAAAAGCAGTACTATTTCTGGTTAGAGAAAATGAATTATGGCTAGCAAAAAAAAAAAATCTTCAACAAACATGAATATCTTTTTGTTTACAAATTTATTCCAACTGTTTTCAGTTTTGTCACTTTTTGTATTCAAAATTACTTACACAATTCATCTTGTGAATATTTTTTATCTATTGATTTTAAATGAATTGTTTATTGAGAGCATTAGATATTGGAGTACAAGTTCTGTTGATTATTTGCATTAGACATATAGACAAAAGGACAATAAAACAATTTTTACTATCCTGAACACACTATTGTGACTCTGAGAATCAAGCACTAAATCCTTAACCACAATTATGTTTTCCAGTCTGGATAAGAGAGACAAGGTAGATGATAGATAGGGCTAGAAGATGTAGTATAGATATGGTCAGATCAATTTGCAACAGAGCATTCTTTCACACCAAAAAAATCCAGTGTTGTCTTTTTGCAGTAATATAAAGATAGTATTCATTTTGGAAGGATTCCATGGATCCTGTTAGGCCAGGACTCACAAACAACACTAATATTCATTTTGCAGAAATAATGAAAAAGAGTAACTCTTCCATAGATTTATAGTTAATGTAGTTCTAATTAATATAATTATATTCCAGATCTTTATAATTTTCCTTGTATGGTTCAACAGATGGATATTTTCTGCATAAAGGCTGTCTCACTGGGAGACTTGGAGAAAGTTCTGATTAGCCATGATGGAACTGGTCCAGGTAGGATTTAAATTCCTAGCAACTAATCTCTTTTCAAGTCAAGTCATTTTTAAACACAATACACTATATTTGTTGCATCCTTTGTAAAAAATGTGACAGAAGGTCTTGCAGTGATAAGAAGCCTTCCTGAGAACTAGTAACTGTGATGGAATACAGTGGCAATGGTCAGCAAAGAGAACATTAATTTGGTGTCAAGTAATATAATTTCATTCTTTGTTTTCAATTTTATTTTTAATAGAGCACTATTTGTTGGGCAGACTGCATTTCAAGAAAATCCATGAACTCTGTGTTTCAGTACCTCTGTGGTACTGACAAAGGTAAAATGATCTTCCATTAGACAAAGAGTGAAGATAAGGATACTACAGAGTGAAAGATATTCAGTGCAGTAAAAGACATTTCAGTATTACAAGACAGAGTCTGAGTAACTAAGGATTAATATCTTTGCTGCTTTGGAGAATGGGATAAGACTTGGTTTCATCAGTGTCACTTAAGTGTAGATGCTACAGTGTTGTATTCAGATTGCAGGACCTTCATAAAAAAAGAGAATTTTGTGATGAGAGGAATTTGTTGCAGACCACTGAGCAGGCATCTCTAGACCAATGTATATGACTTTTAACAGCAGTGAAGATGTAAATGCTCCTAATATAGCAGACTAGTGGCTGTGAAAGGATTAAGCAAAGGAAATGATTTTTAATGCAATTCATGGCCATAGAGGATTAGATATGCACTTTTACTCTACCTTATTCTGAAATAGTCTCAAGCAACCCTAAATATCTTGACTATTTAAGGCCCAGAGCACACTTGTGTGTATAAAAATAGTGACCTCATTAGGATGAAGTTGGTGAAAACTTGAGTCTTGTAGCTTTGTAATTTGCTAAAATATGCAGTGATAGAGACTAACATACACCTGAGAGTTTCAAGGCCTAGYATGCCAAGATATATCACAGAAAGCAGTATGGTATAGAGCTTACCTTCTCTCTAATCCCACTACACCACACCATGCTCTTTTTCCTCTCCCTCAAGTCTCCTTTAACAGGCAATGTAGACATACTGCATGGTCAGCAGAGCAAATCTGCCATCAGGCTCAGTTATCCTAAATTCCTTTGACAGTGTATTCCAAAATCTATTTTTATGAAGGGTTTTTTAAGTAGGAACACAGGTTGGTTTCTATGTATAACAACATTTATGGCAGGGATATCATGATTGTTCCTTGTGTTCAACACAAATCTTGCAAGCCTTTCTTCAACTGTCTTTAAAACTAACTCCATATAAACTTGACTAGAAGTGGTCCTAGACATAATGAACCAAAAATAGTTGGTGAGCCAGGATGAATACCAATTAGAGACTTAATGTGGGGATCCAAGGGAGAAAAGTACATTCCTTTAGAGAGGGGAATGTCTTCTGTTCTAGTCCTTTCTGTTTATCTGTTACCTGAAAGTTAGAAGCAGAAGGTCTTTAATCTTGATTTGCAAACTATCCTGGAATGACAAGGGATGTGTCCATCCTTTGGAGTAGGAGAGGAAGGGAAAAACTCTGTAAGGTTTACAGTCAGGAGTCAGGGTTACATTTTTGCAAGTTTCTTTGCATGTTTGGAAAATACCCTTATAAGCTCCTGAATCATGTGCAGTGCTGACGTGTCAGACTACCTGGGCATCTTCCATAAAGCAATGTAAAGATTCCTAGACCACTAGAAGATTCCTAGACCATTAAGTGTAGATCTTTTCCCACAGCTACAATAGCTGAAGAAAGGAAACACAACAGGCTTTTGGCTCTTGTCAAATGCAAGTTACTACATGAGGATAATTTTTCTGCTGAAACWATGTTCTTCTCTGCAGATACCTTCCTTTTATGCTTTTGCACAGGAAGAGTTTGTCCCTTTTTTGCCTTTTTTGTGCTGAGGAATACTGGCCTGACCACTAGGCTCCTTACAAGGAGAGGGCATCTGAGCATTGTTTCATGCTAAAGTATTCACCTGAGGTATTCCAGGTGATAGAAGAGCATGCCATTGCAGAGCATGCCCATGTGCCCTGGGGCTAAAGTCTTTACAGGAAAATGTCGTTTTACTCTATGCACTGCTCAGGCAGGCCCTCCCTGTGGCACAGGGATTGCTGCCTTCTAGGGACTTCCAGAGTGTGTGGAGCTGGAGAGGCAGAACACAAAGATAAATAGGTCAGTCGKGTGGCTCTGACCAAAAGATTCCTCATGCCGCTTTGCTACAACGAACTGACAAATAATAGTGTGATTCAAGTAATACCTCTTAAGAAATATTACAAGTTGTGAGTGGTGCAGACACAATAAGGACAAGATATTTGAAAAGGGCTTTGAAGGATAACTGTAACAGTCACTAAGATGATTATTGGAAATGATCTGAGAGAGCAGGATGGATGTGGCTGTGATTACTGCTGTTAGGGAGAGGGCAAATACAGCAGGTGCCAGAAGCAAGTTTACCATAGCTTTGTTACACCAGGATCAACCCATAGTCACGCTGTGCAGGTATTCCCATTAGGTATACAYACAAGGACACATATAAAACATACACAATAACATGTATATGTGTATACATATACATATATATATATATGTTTATATTTATGTACAGTCAGTCRCATAGACAACAGAGTTAGGGCTATGAGGATGATCAGGGACCTGGAACATCTGCCCTATGAGCAAAGGCTGGGCCTGTCCAGCCTGGAGAAGAGAAGGCTGAGGGGGGGACCTGATCAGTGTCTATAAATACCTCAAGGGAGGCAGTGAGGAGGAGGGGGCCGGCCTCTTTTCAGTGGTGGCCAGGAATAGGACTAGAGGAAACGGCCACAAGCTGAGGCACTAAAAGTTCCACAGGAACTTAAGGAAACACTTTTTGACAGTGAGAGTGACAAAGCCCTGGAACAGGCTGCCCAGAGAGGTTGTGGAGTCTCCTTCTTTGGAGATCTTTAAAACCCGCTTGGATGCAGCCCTGTGCCATGTGCTCTGGGTGGCGCTGCGTGAGTTGGACTAGATGACCTCTGAGGTCCCTTCCAACCTTAAGCATTCTATGATTCTATGATTCTAATACTCCCCACTCACACAAACAAAAACAGTTCCAGCTAGCTGCCTCATCCAGTGTCCCTTTCTGATTGATCAGATCTGTGGGAAATATATATACATATATAAATATGTTTCTATATATATGCAGTATGGAGTCACAAACATACTGACCAACAATCTCTTCACAGCTAACCTGCTCATTTTAATCCCTTTTTCTTCTATTTCCTCATACTTCTTGCCCAAGCTACCTTGATACTGCCCCTTGCCCACTTTGGTTCCACCCCGAACCATACCATAGCAGATCCTGTACAATTCCYACTCCTGTTGACTCATGGTGATGTGTTTCACATCTAGACCATGGGGCTGACAGCTCTCCTTTGATAGCCCTGGGAGGGGTCAGAGCAGAATATTTATTTGGCTTCCCCCACTGACCAGTGTTCCTCTGAGATCCTCCTGTGTGAGAATATGAGGTTTAATTAAACAAATACASTTAATATCTAAATAGGTTGCCATGTTCTCTATACAGCACCTGGTACTGCTTTATTGAAAACTAGATGCAGAATTAAGTGTAATAAAGCATAGAAGGTAGGGGAAGACTGAGAGAATAGTTATTTGCTTACATAGTCACATAGGTATTTGATATTCAGTAATATATGCTTTTATTAGCGAACAATGTAAACACTTTTTAAGATTATAAGACCTTGTTAGCTTTATTTTTTTTTCCTTCCTGTACCTGGGACGGATCTGAAAAAAATCAAATATGTTGGGAAGCAATCCATAACTGTGCAGGTTCTGTCCTTGAGCCAAGTCTGGACCAACACCCTGTCCACTATGTTTTGGGAAATCTATCCTTTTGATAAATCAAGTTCTTAAATGCTATTTTATCCAGCAATATAAGAGGCCAGTAGCAGTTACATACCAGTAAGTTTTATCATGCTGGTGGATAGGGTTTTTTTTGCTTCAATCATCATCTAAGAAACTGATATGTATTTTGTCTTTATTTTTACTATTTACATTGCTAATATCTACAATTCATACAATATCTGAAAGTGTGTTACTACTTGTGTAGATTTACTGGTAGAAAAAGGGTTCTCCAGTCTATCACAAAGTTGCATGTAGAAGGTAAGTAAACCCAATAAGGAGTCTGTACTCTGTGTTTTCCATGCTACATGGATATAAAGAGTTCCCACTGCAAGACCAAGAGAAAATTCTTTGTGCTGTTTCCTTGGACAAGMGGTTAAAAAAGGTCTTCAATAAATTTTACAGTTCGTATTTTAAAACGTAGATTTTGCAAAGAATGTCCTTTCCTCTCTTTATAGAGGGCAAAGAAAAAAAAAAGCATGTCCTTGAAACTTAGGCTTTAAAAATGCAAATTTGAAAAGCTTTCTGAAGAGGCTTATCACATGTCTAGAAGAACACTTTCTGTTTGTTTTCAACAAACTTGTTTCTATCAGAATTTGTTAATCTAATGTTCATGCAGATTTATGCAGTATTTTGACTTTGTAGTGTATTTAAATGAGCATATACTGTAAAAGCTGGAGCATATTCAGAAGCTAAGACAGAACACAAGGAGATGAGAACAATAGATATTAATGGTCTGCTAATTGRCATTGCTATATGCAATAAAAAATTAATTCCCAGAGGACCAAGAATTCCATTTCTCACACAAGATCCCAATAGCATGAGCAGATTTTCCCTAACAGCCTTGTGCCTGATCACATCTTTCAAGAGATGTAGAATGATAAAGCTTTCATTGTGTTAATTTATGTCACCCATTCCATTGAGTTCTGTCCTAATGGGATCTGCTTTTTTTTTTCTCCTGGAAAAAAAGATATTTTTTAACATTTAAAAATACATATTTTCAGATGATAAACTTTTGACATTTCAATACAGGCAATGGATGGTTCCTGGATAAGATCATCATCAAACATGGAGAAGGAAAGGAAGCTCAAGAAGTTGCATTTCCTTGTAATAGGTATGTCATTTGTGAAGAAACAGAATTACATTTTTGATCTGTCAAAAGGCTAAAGAAAACAAGTCTAAAGAACTGGCACGTTCATGCAACGTAAAAATATGGTCACTCTTGAAGAGTTTTTCAACCAACATGAAATACAAAATCTAGCATTAGTCAAAAAAGTATTTGACAAAAAGTCAAACAGTGAAGGTGCTGGGTTTTATGGGAAGGAGTCACACCATAAAGCAAATAAAAACAAAGCAAAATGTAGCGTAGAAGGAAAGACGCGTTGATCTTTCCTTTATTCAACTMTCTATCCCTCTATTTATGTATGTATGTATCTACAGAGATCATGAAAGTGTCTGTTTTATATGGGAAGATGTAGTTATATGGATTTCAGTTTGTTTCTCTTTCTTGGGCACTGCAGACCTTGTATCTAAGTCACAGAATCACAGAAAGACTGAGGTTGGAAGAGACCTTTGGAAATCATCTAGTCCTCTAAGGTCACTTAGAGAAAATTGCAAAGAATTGTGGCAAGGCGGGCTCTAAATATTCCTAGAGAAGGAGAATCTACAACCTCTTCGAGCAGCTGTTCCAGTATTTTGTCTTCCTTACAGTCAAGTTTTTCTTCAAATTCAGGCAGAACTACATATGTTTCAGTTTGCCCATTGCCTCTTGTCCTGTCGCTGACCACCGCTGTCTTAACCCACCCTCTTGACACTCTCCCTTAAGAAATTTGTACATATTGATAAGACCCTCTCCCAGCCTTCTTTTTTCTAAGCTAAACATTCTGAGCTCTCTCMGTCTCTTCTCATAGGAGAGATGCTCCCATCTCCTAATCATCTTTGTAACCCTATGCAGAACTAGTATGTGTTCTTAAATATAGAAAATCTTTGAAAAGATCTTTGATTGTGGACTCGCGGAATGGTTAGCACTCCTCCTAAAGAGAGCTGAAATATGTCTTTTCACTTGGCAAATAGCTACTTCTCTATTTTATTAAGTCTAGGATTTCATTGCCATGGCCAAAATTGAAAGAAAAAAAAGTCCAAATCTCTGTTCTAGTAGTTATTCAAGTTTCAGATTTTGTGAATTTAGTCTACATGGCTGATGTAGACTAAATTGGTTTGGTGTGCAGTTGAAGATAGTCATTGGAAAAACAGACAAATGAGATAATTGTTTTTTTAAAGTCATGGAGATTTTACGAGACTTTTCAAAAGGAAGGTCTACTTAATGAAGAGTCTGAGCTGCTATAAAACTGCATTATCAAAAGGAAATTATTAGCTCTTGGAAAAAAAGATTAGAGACATTATGCATAGACCTAGAAAGGTTCTGTCATTCTTTGTCTGCAGACTAAGTGCTGCCAATSTATCAAAATTTATATTTTTAGAAACTGCTAGTCATCATTTTCATTCTTAAGAAGGGATGAAGTTCACAAAAGTTAATCAAGATATTTATTAAAACAATAGTTGAAATACATTGGAATCTAATCTTCATGCACAAGGGAGTTGTTTATATAATTTTACTATATATAAGTAATTAAATGTATATGGATAATTGAGTTTGAACAAAAGCTACATCAGCTTGGAACCAATAGAATGGAACCTGACAGAATATATTTATTTTCAAATAAGGAAAATTTTAACAGTTGTAAAATGTTATTATATCAGCAAGGAGGATCAAATGAAAAGTGTGTTTTTGTAATGAAATGAGATTTAAGAAATATTCCTTTAATTCATCAGTATGAAAGAAAAGACAAATTCAGTTCATTGAGGATTAGCTATAAAAGCTCTAGAAACTGCCAAATCTGGGATCTGAAATACTCCTCTCAGGAGTCATACAACATTTTAAGTGTAAAGAACTGAACGTTGCAGGTTATATACAGTTCCCTCAAAAATGTACAACTGAATATTATTACTGTAGATACTTAGGACTTTGTATGGTGTTAACTTCCATGCAAATTTCTATTTTGTGATGATAATAGACTGAACTGAATTCTCCCTGAATGTGAAAAATGCTAACTATTATAAAAGTATAAAATGAAATGAGTTCTGTGATGAATTTTATAGATGTAATTTGGCAAAAAAAGAATAAAAATACTGTTGAAGAGAGTGAAGGCAATAGTGAGATCTCTTGCAACATGAATGATAATTGTTATTAACTACATTATTTTTGTTTTGCAATAAAAGATGGTTAGATGAATACCAAGATGATGGGAGAACACAACGAGAGCTAACTGCTGAAAGTAAGTATTTTATGACACTGTATAGCGCTTACTCGGTGCCTAATGGTTACTGAAAATGACCATCACTTATGAAKAAAAGCAAGAATAAAACTTGCTCATATAAATCTCTTTTGTTGTTTGTATTTTAGAATATAGCAATTCAAAGAAGACGTGCTCCAAAGGTAAGAATTATTTTTAACATAATTTTTCATCTATTTAATCTCCAAATTAGTATTAAGTGACAAATGAACTGAGCAGTTTAGTCCTCAAATCAGACAGAAATTTCTCTAAGAAGGGTTTCAAGTATTGTTTTGTTTATCCTAGTACTACTATTGTTTAGTATATCATATCCCTTAGCAAACAATAGCAACTTGAAAAATGTGCTGGGGAATGACAGTGGAAGCATTTTCAGGTCAAAGTCCATTAGGATATACAGGTTTTGGTTCCATATCTATGAATGAAATTCAATGCAGTAATTTCATTCAGCTGACAAAGACTGCCCCAATTAATAAAACATGTTAAGAAAAAACTATCTCCTGTTTAATTATTTACCTAGAAAGACATTGTAAAAGGCTACTACCTAGCAAGTGCTTAATATTTGAGATATTATCTCTGTGTTTTTCCTTAGCCATAAAAGAGAAACAGACTAATACCATTTTCTTTATGAAAATTTAACGGTAAATACCTATTCTCTGTAACTGTCTGAGAACACTATGGGAGAAACTAAAGTAAAAGAAATAATATTCTCATTTACCTCTGAARATGGTGATTTGCGTCTTGTATGATGTCCTGAATTCTCAGTCTAATTCTTCTTCCCCCGAAAATGAAATCTCTTGCATTCATTCAAACAGTTTGGCCAGCAGTTTCACTGTTACAGGGAATGATGACTCTTATAAGAGGAGGCTGATTAAATCATAGAGAAATCTGATTTTCGCAAGAGTGACTTGGAGCTGGATCCTACATTCTGTTAAGTACTCACTTCAGAGATGTATCCAGAGTATTAGTTTCACACTATATTCAGAAAACAAACGATGTTTTGGCAACAATCTTTTTTCTTTTTGCAGTACAGCTTCATTCTTTGTTATATTACAATGAGCAGGCACAGATGCACAGTCTTCTAAGYGCTTGTGCATGTCATGAAGAACATGGCACAATATCTTGATTATGAAGAGGAAGGAGCCACTTATCCTTGATCAGTTAGTGAAACTTCACACTGTTAAGGTGCCCCGGAAGACCCAAATATTGCATGCAGATTTATTAGGATGACACCTGAGGTTCCAAATAATAAAGAAGTTAAGAAAGAGAGCATTTGTTAGAAGGCATTCCACCAATTAGAAATGCAGTAGGCTAACTTGAACTCCTCTTTAGTCATCCTTTATTTAATGAGGAACTCACTTCAGTGAGGAACTGAGATCACACTTTTTATGTCTTATGTAAAAGAGCTAATGAGTGGAACAGATCTAAGGTTTGCTACTTTTTAATTTGTGTTCTCTTACTGGATTTCTTGTAGATCGTACCCATGAAAAGACTGAGTTTATAGGAAAATGTCCAGCAAAATAGTCTAGGAAAGGTGTCTTATACACAATTCTGTGTCAGTCCTTCATGATACAGCACTAGGATTGGAGAAAATTCCAGAGATGCAGAATCTTGGAAGAAAAAGTGTTTGCCTTAAATTCTCCCTACAGATGTAACAGTGATTTCACATGGCAAGGCAGATAATAGCAACAGGCAGTCCCATTCACAGTGGAAGTGAAAACTTCACGTGTATGATACATTTGCTGAATATGAGGCAAGCAGCGGAGTACTGATATTATGMAGTCAATATTAGATATTCCTGTTGTCAGGTTTCATGACAGTCACCCTGCAAGTATACTCATACTCCAGTGCTGTGCAGTAATTTCCAGAATAGCAATCAGTGTGCTTAGGTCAGGGCTGAGGCAAAGATTTACAAACAAAGCACTCAATGTAGAAGTCACTCTGAAGGCAGAAATCTCATTCTCTTTGAGTAAGTTGCTCAACCACTTGACCAAAAAGTAGAGTTTTAAAGTTATTTTTGCTAAGCAAGTTTCTTAGGGTATTACAGTTTTTAGTCAAGCTGGAATTTTGCCAACTTTAATGAAGCAGAAATTCCAGAACCCTATAAATGTTGTTAGTAGATATGAATTCTRCCTAACTGTGATAGATCTATATCAACTTCTCTTATCATGTGTAGATTGTGGAGATAGTCTAACAAGTTAAGCACAGCAGCAAAATTATTTATACATTCTTGATCCCTCCGTGTATGCTTGATGCAAGAGAAAAAGACTTAAGATCATGTAGGTACAGAATACAGACAGCTATTGTCAGTTGTATGGGAAAATGGGAATTTTCATCACTTGCTAAAATTTTCTTATACTGTTAGGAAATATGATATTTTCTCCTTCCTCCTCTTTTTCTTTCTTCCCTTCAAGATGGGGGAGTATTAAAATAGTACACATTAAAAGATTTTATTGAAAAGCAAAGATATAAGACATAGCACGTTACAATTTTGACTATGCTGTAGTCAGTTAAAAGGAGCTGAATTCCCGCAGTGTGGATCACAGATTGCTCCAAGGTACTGTGGGCTTTTGTGGGTGATGTATAAAATATAGTTCAACATCAGTGAAAATGGTTCCGTTAATAGATATTTTATAGGTTAGAATTTCTTGTGTCACAAAAGGTTGTTGGCATTAAGACACAGACAATTCATAAGAGAAAATATACAGTAAATTATCCCTGTAACTCCATTAAAAAATAAAAATAAATCCTTGCCTTGTGAGTTTGGATAATGAAGTAAGAATAATCACAGAATCCATCAAGCACAGATAGCTTGGTCCTGATTTTAAAAATCAAGGACAGTATTTATTACTAACTAGTGTCTGAATTCCCTAGTTAAGACAGTCTCACTGTCTGCCTCAAAATCCTGCAAGGCAGGTGAAACAAGCAACACAAATTTCTGCAATTTCCATGGACTAAGTAACCTACTTTTACATCTAGCAGAATGTGATTACCGTTTTAGCTCTTCAGCCCAAAAAACACCAGTAATTTATAACTGGAGTACTATGTCCTCAAAACAATGGGGACAATTTTCTAACAATTAGTAAAAGTTGTTCTCTTTAAAAAAAAAGAAGAAAAGAAAGAAAATCAAACTCTCTATTTCATTTTTATAAATGAGCTTACAAAATATTAACTCCATATTTTGCTCTACCCTTCTTACTATAGAAGGGTAGAACTCACTGCARTTTTGATTTTTCCCAAATATGTAGCAAGTATCTTCCAGATTCCAAAGTGGTAGTTAAAAGGCTTTCTGGAAGGATTTTATTACAGTTGATCGTATTTCATTTCCTAAAGTCAAGAAAGGACTCACACATCTCTGGAGTAACATGAAACAAGAACCTTGGTAGTATTATTTCAGGAAAGAGAGAATTCTGACTTTTTTTTGTGAAAGTTTGTTTCCCCCCTTTTTTTTTCATTCAAACAATTCTCATATTGACGTCTCAAAGAAAATGGCTATAGCTTTAGACATAGCCTAAAAGATAGATAACACACTAACACTAATCTCTTTGAAATGAATCTAATATGGATCAGTGATATCMGGGGAAAAGTATCCCTTCTGTGAGACCTTGCCTATGAAGTGCAGAAAAAAAGCATACTCAGGCTCACCTATCTAATTTTCAGATGTTAGTGATTTGAAATTTTCTGAAAATAGATAATCACTGAAACAAATTTGCAATCAGTCTCTTTTCTAGTGTAGCCATCTTTACCGAGTGGCTGTCTAAGGGAATATAGTATTACACCAAATGTTCTTTTCTTACTCTGGCAGGAGCAGGCTGAAATGAGTGTGCTGAACTGAGAGAAAATGCAGTCAATCTGGGTTAGCTCAGTTACCAAGTTGTAGAAACATTAAAAGTAAAGGCAGGCGAACAAGCAGTCACAGATGCTAAGAGGCCTTAAATCTGTTAACCACTGATTCATTTCCTGGAAAACTCCCAACTGGTGTCTTAGCCTTTCTTCTAAAATAATAATGCAAATGCAATCACAGATATTAATTAAAGTAAATCACATTGCCTGAAATTCGTTCTCCARTCATGCTGCTTCTTGGATGAGGAAACAGGCAGATACGCACCCTTGCTTTCCTTTAACATAGGGCTTACTCTTTCCTGGAGCAGAAGAGAATTGCAGTGAGAAAATAAAAGCTCACCAGGCTGAGCTTTGCAATAATGCAAAATTATCTTAATTTTCTCTCTGCTGTGTACCTGTGATGCCCTTCAAAATGGAAGAAGCTTATATGGGACATGTGATGGTAAGAGGTTCTGGGCTATGGTGGGAGTCTTTGTAAGAATTTGAATTTGCAAGCCCCAGAGTACTCGGAAATGGCAGAAAATCAAAGGATACTTGACTTCACCAAGTGTGACATCCTAAAGGGTACCACATGCCAACCTGGAACAAGGAGATAAAATTAAAAGCTGGCATACATTTTAAACAACAAAAGTTCCTCATTAGGCAAAGTCTGACTCATTCCTGGAAATGACCTCAAAAAAAAAAAAAGAAGAGTTCAAATGGAAGGAGCCTTTCAGCTAGCATCTTAGTCAGTGAAYTCCCTGGAATATGTGTATTTGCCTGCTGTTTTGTAGCCGAGCCCAGAAGAATCAGAGAACAGTCAGATGCAATGTAGAAAAAGCTTTTATAACAAGTTTGTTGTTTTTACAACCAAACAGAATAAGCTAAATAAAATATGTGTGAAGAACAGGGGAAAAAAACGTAGAGAAAAATGAAACAGATTTTCACCCAATCTCTAACTCCAAACAAGTGGAGAAAAATGAAACTTTAGAAAAAAGCTCATGGAATGCTAAGAAAAAAAGATTGCATCCATTTTATATATAAGCTAAATTACTTTAAAATTTATTCTGCTGAATCATTGCATTGTAGGCTTTCATACATTCACAGAATAGTTCCCTTCCTTATTAATTCCGTAAGCAAATTATGGCTGTAATAGTCACAGTCTAAACACAGGGCTTTGGTTTCCTTTCATTGTTAAGTTCTCTTTGCTATGTAGAAGCATGTGTCTCTTCTGAAAAAAAAAATTGAATTCAGATGAAGATTTACATTCCACCAGTTAATTATCTTTCTAGTGTACAATGTCCATCTCAAAAATGTTTTTCTATACCTTGAAGGATTTTCTGCTGCATTTTGAACAGAAATAATGAATCCTTTCTGATACATGTKCTTGGTTACTTTCTTGATTTACAAGTATTATTATGACTATGTGTCATGTACCAAAAAGAATCTCTGAAAGGCTAATCCATGGGCAGAGGTAAATGAAAGGGGCACTTTTGAATTACCTAGATTTTGAATTAGACTCTAATGAATGATCTTGTCTTACAAATAAGCAAATGACATGATAGATTAGGTTAAAAATATTAGGGAAAACAGGTTTATTTTTTATTATTTGACTGGACTAGTTGTGTATTCCAGCCAGCAATTTTTAAGAACGAATCATATATTAGTGATGACAAAATCCTTGCCTTCTCTCTCACACCACATGCATGAATACTTTAAGGACTAAAATGAAATAAATAAATTACTGCAATTAAAGCAGGTATTTTTTCACAGAGAAGGCAAAAGTGTAGCCAAAGATTCTTTTTCTTGCTTCCTTGACATTAATTTCTACTTGTATGCCCAGTTGTTTTGTTTTTATCAAGTCTTATTTAAATTTTGTTCGAGGAATATGTGTCTATTTTTATAAAACAATATGTAAATTCATAGCAATCTTTAAATTCTTTGTAGTAATAATAATGAAGAAGTCCATTACARTCCTCCCTTGATATGAAATATGTCATAATGTTTCCATTTTATTTAGCGCAACAGTGGAGGGTGCAGGTCAAAACAGATGGAGATTCCCCAGAGCCACAGGAGTGTAAAAGAACCCTTGTGATTTACGGCTCGAAGGGCAAAAGTGATCACCTTCTGCTTTCTCCACAAAACCCAGGATATGTGTGCTTTCGGCCCAGAGCAACAGATGAATTCATTGTAAGTCATAAATAAACAGTATTACAGAAAGATTACCATGACATTCCACTCCAGCCAAAGGATATATGCATATATATGGAATGCCAGTTTGCTTGCTACAAATGGCTTTTGTTTGCTACAAATTACTTTTTATTTACAAAGATGGAATTACTTAATTTTAGATCTTGGACCTTCTGATGCCTGTAGATCTTTTTTACTGGAGTCAGCGCTACAGTGTTTTCTTTGAATTGTTAGTACCTTTAAGAATATTAATCAAGGGCATAAATGATACCTTTTGTATAATTTATTGCATTCACCAGGTTTTCTTGTATTTTTTCAAATCCTAAAGAATCCTGAGTTGTGGTTTATGTGAAAGGTAATATACTATCACCTGAGAATGCAGAAGATGAATGACTTGGATAGTAAGATTAGAGGATGTAAGTGGGCTTTTCTTTTCCTCATTCCAGTCTTTGTAAAGGCATCTCCACTGTCCTCCAATGTGGTTCTGTCTGTCAGACCAGACGGTACATAGGAGTTTTCTGGATAATTGTACATCACAGGAAAAAGCATTCAAGCCTATCAAAGTGTGATGAGCCCTGAGGCAATAACATAATTGAAAACAACCCTAACATAGCTCTAACTATCTGTACACCTCACACTTATCCTGCTGCTTTGAGAGGATAAAATGCTCAAATTCTGTCCTGACTTTCTAAGCTAAATCACTGCAAATTTTATTGATTGGCATGGAAATGCAGCTTCTAGGCAGTCAAAAGAAAGAACCAGTCTGCATTTACAGCAGTTTTCTAAAGCTCAGAAAAAAACATTTAAATGGCTGCAATAAACATTTTGAAATCCAAGGCAAAACTACATAGGAAAAATGTTTTCAAGCAGCTGTATCAGAGCTTCATCATAATGACATGATCCAGGCTGAATTTTTAAGTTAAATAACAAGCTAATATAATCTAGGAACTTCAGGGAGAGTAAATGAAAAGATAATGACACTTGCTAAAGACAAGAAAGCAGCTGCTTATCAAAAAACAGACTGAGCAACAAAAGGCTCTTCCTAACCCGTAGACGTTAAGCGAGAGAGGTCAATAGAGGCAGAGTCTTGTGTGTGGAACAGCCACGTCAGCTGTCTGGATTTTGGCAAGCATCGTTCCATAAAGCAGACCTCTACTGCATCCAAATTTTAGGTAATTTCCAAAGTGTCATGTACTGCTTGTTAAGATCACCTAATTTCRGTGACAATGTACCATACTGTGTATCAATCTGGTTGCTTGCCCTATTCTACCATTTCTTCTACCACAGTACCCTGTTCTATCCTTATGGTGTTCTATCCTGATGCTTCTTTAAATGTGTGTTCATAATTTGGATTGGCTCTGTATTTTTCACTTGACTCTTTTTGTCCTTGGTTTTGTTGCCTTTTATACTATTTGAGCATTGTTTATTGTGTCTGAAATTTTATGTCTTTTCCATGCTGCTTTCAGGCCTTGTTCTAAGGAGGTCAGAATAACAGGCCTGTTATAAAGGAGCACTTAGGGTTTTTGCAGATATCTTCAGAAACCACCTTTGCAGAATCAGTTCTACTAATAAATCTGTTTTCCTTTTACTCTCTGTTTCTCTGTACCTACTAAAGCTATTTGTAATACAACAGAATCTTTTCCCACTGCAGAACCATGTTGGAGGCATAATGGGATGTCACAGTGGAGAAAGGCTGCCAAAAAGTGAAAAGAAATGAACTTTTAAACCTCCCCAAGATCCTGGTCTTAGACAAATTTCCTTAGTAATATACACTGCAGCCAAAAGAACAACATGTGCTAGAAAGAGCTCACATTACCTTTAAAATGTAGACTTAATTTTTATCTTAGAGATACATTTATTGCACACTTAGGACTTGAATGCATGTAAATTCCTGATTTTCCAGGTGTTCTTCTATAAATACACACACAGATGTGTATTATATTCACAATGATTATCTGGTCCAGAATTCTTTTGATCATCTCATATGAAAAAGAACAGGTGTACTTTAGCAGCACATAGCAATTGTTAAGAATATGTAGCTAGAAGAGATACTAACAACACTAGYATAGATACTACCAACGTACTAACAAGATAAAGTTTTGGTTTCAGTGGTCCTGGGTAGCTGTACTAAAGTGAGCTGTTGACATAAGAATAAATTTAATTTGAAAACATTAGGTCTAATAAATAGAGAAATAAGTGAATGTGTTTGTGTTATTGAATCTGCTGGGAGTTTTAGCATCTCAGATAGCATGGCAGAAAAACACACTCTCCAATGAACAGAACAGACACATTGAAAACTAATTGGGAAAATGAAAGTAAGTGCAGGRATAAATTTTCTTGTTGATGTTTGAGTGATGGCAGAGATTAGTTGCTGATATCATATGGAGTGAGGAAATTTGTAAATTATAAGCATCTTTCTTTCAAATACTAGTGTGTTTCTTGCCTATTTACAGAAAAAAAACTTGTAATAGGCTGCCTTTGGAGAGCACCTAATGCGTTGTGCATGTTCTACTATCCAGATGATCATAGAATGAAAAGTGATATTAATCAGTAAATCATGGGATTGGGATCCTTAAAACTGTGTTCCAGAAATAGCACAAATGATATGAAATGAGCAATAGTACTGTGACAACTAAGACTTTAATTATTATGTTCTATAACCATCGTCACCAGTTACGTGATTCTGAGAGAGTCACAATCTTCTGAGATGAAGCTCAAGGACATCATCATTTTTTTKGGAAAAAAATATATATGGAAAAAGTAACTAGGAAATTTGAATCATGAATAAAAGTGAGGTAAATGGTGCGCTTTTGGAAATATTCTGTAAGCTCAGAAAGAGAAAATTCCCTGTATCTATTTTTTATGATGGATATTCTTGCATTTTTGCTTTGAAGATCTTTTTGCATCAGCTAATAGACATTGATGGGGGTAAAGTCATTTATGGGAAAAAGAGTATTTCTAAAGTGAAATTCATCATATAAAATTGCTCATGAAAGGATTATGATGTGATGAAAATGTACTGTTGACAACGTACAATGATGGGTCTAAGCAGAAATGATAATAGTGGCCAGTCTTACGGAAAAAAAAGATTTATAAAAAGGGAGGAATATGTCATATTCTCAATTGAAAATATTTGGTGATGCTTAATTCAATAAATTGTGAATAACAAGGTATGCAAGATGCTTCTTTTTGTTTAAAGGCACTCATATATTTCATGGGAAATTTCATTGTGATTCTAGGAAAAAAAAAAAAGCAAAGATTGGCTTTTAAGTAGTCTATATTGTATCTGGAATTATTTTGCTGTATATATTAGGTGCAATTTTCCTGCAAGGTACACAACACAAGTGTAGAAAATTGTTAATTTGGATAGCAGAAGACGAAGTAAAATGTGAGGCACAACTTGTCCTAATAAATAAAAATAACTGAGTTCTGTAATATTGTAACTAAACTACAGAACTTTATGGAATAAGTAGTGCATGACACTTAAAGTAGCTCTGTGATCCAGGCTCATGAGGTCCATCTTTAAGAAAGYAAATCTGTAGGCAATGATTTTACAAACCAATTGTCTGGTTGTGAAAGCAGAAGCAATGATTTGCTTTGCAATGATTTGCAGGCATCAGTACAAATTCCCCAAGCATCAGTACAGATTAGGGGTCGACCTGCTGGARAGCAGCTCCACAGAGGGACCTGGGAGTCCTGGTTGACACCAAGTTAACCATGAGGCAGCAGTGTGCCCTYRTGGCCAAGAAGGCCAATGGGATCCTGGCTGCATCAGGAGGAGTGTTGCCAGCAGGTCRAGGGAGGGGATCCTGCCCCTCTCCTCAGCTCTGGTGAGGCCGCACCTGGAGCACTGTGTGCAGTTCTGGGCTCCTCAGTATAGGAGGGACATGGAGCTTATAGAGAGGGTTCATCGGAGAGCAACTAAGGTGATTAAGGGAATGGAACATCTCTCCTATGAGGAGAGACTGAGTTGGGCCTGTTCAGCTTGGAGAAGAGAAGGCTGAGAGGGGATATGATTAACAGGTATAAGTTCATGAAGGGGAGAATGTAGGGAGGAAGGGGACAAGCTCTTCTCATTGGTGGCCCGTGACAGGACGAGGGGTAATGGGTGCAAGCTGCAACACAAGAAGTTCCATCTCCATGTGAGCAGGAACTTCTTTACTGTGAGGGTAACAGAGCCCTGGAACAGGCTGCCCAAAGAGGTTGGGGACTCTCCTTCTCTGGAGGTCTCCAAAACCTGCCTGGATGCCACCCTGTGCCGCATGCTGGGAAAGATTTTTTCCTTGTTTCTTAAAGAACGGTGCCTTGCGTCCAGAAATTTTCTTTGAGTGTCACCACAAAACAAAACAAAACAAAACAAAACAAAACAAAACAAAACAAAACAAAACAAAACAAAAAAATTGGACCGGAAGGGATTTTGTAGGTCATCAAGTTGGGAGGCCTTGCTGTCACCAGTTGCTTTTCATTCATTTCAGTTCACAAATGGTTCAAGTTCTTGCAAAATGGTTTTGAGAGATTGATACTTTTTGATTTACCATTACTTACAATGCTTTGACATTTTACTATTTCTTATCTGCACAGCCTTTATGGTGAAGGTGGTCAGCTCTCCCTAAATGATAAGAACACACTTTTCACACTGTTCTAATAAGAATTAAATGGCTGAGGCTTCCTTGCATGTACATCTGCACTGTGCAAGGGTGCATGAACAAGCTTTAAGCAAGCTAGGTCATAAGTCAAGGTCTGCCAAATGCAGGACTCAGCTTGAAAAGTAGAATAAATTAGGCTGTTAGGAGCTATGTGCTCTGGCTCAAAAAACAGTCTGCTGCCGTTCTTAGGGCAGGACTGTGAGACTAACTTCAGTATTTTACTACTACACTACCGAGTGCGTTAAGGATTTACTTCCTGGCTTCTGTTGCCAAAGCTTACATGGTGACTGGTCTAGAAAAATGTGTGTATGAGACAAGAACAAGGCCACTGACAGCATTTTCTTTATGGATCATATTTAAAATCCTTATTTTAAAAAAGAAAAGTTTTCTTTTTCACTTGAAAACCCCCTCCTTCTCTGTCTGTCTTGCAGTTACCCAGGAAAGGAGGAAGCACTCTACCTCCTGGAGTTCAGAAGATGTTTTTTTGTGCAGTGTTTAATGTCATGCAAATCATTAGCAGTCAATGTGATTTGGTGATTCCCATAGACCTTAGCTTGGAGGGTTTAACTTGGTCTCCAGAAGCCCACAATCAGCAAGTGGATATTGAATTTCCTGCATGTGGTAGGGGCATGGGGCTACTCCGTCCTGCAGCGCTATTTCAGCAACATTAATAATATACAATTATGCAGAAAAATACATTCTCTTTTCCATAGAACTGGTTATATAAGAATTTGATTTTTTTTTTAAATYAAATCTTTTTGCAAAGGAGAATTGAGTTAATACTCTCTAGGCTAATCATAATTATCTTTAGTTATAGCTTGTCTCCTGAGCCTTTAACTAGAGCTAAGTCCTTTGTTATCCACTAGGATCAGAGCTTTACATAGTACTTTTTGTCTAAAGTGCGTGCATGCACAGATTTTACGGATTTAAATCTTGACTCACTTACTGGCAAAGTATAAAAAACTAATAATGGATCAGAGAAAAATCAAAGAGGCAGACTTACCCATGATCATAGAGGGCATACATGAAAAAGAGGGATCAATTCCTACACCATACCTTTTCTTGCCTCAGATACAGTTTTCCCATTAATTAATGTAAATTTAACGAATACTATGCTTCTTGCAAAAAGTGAAGCAGCCTTGACAATACCCTCTTCCTCGTGATATTTGTTGCAGGTTGAAACTGGAGATTTGGGAGATGTATACAAGATTCGGATCAGCTGTGATGATATGCCAGGCTTTGAGGGTTGGCATTTGAAGTCTTTTCACATAGAAGAGCTACATAGAAAACAAGAATTGAACTTTGACTGTAGCTGCTGGCTCTCTTGTTGTAGAGAAGACAGGGAGCTGGTGAAAGAATTCCCTGCAGTGGGTGAGGACGGGAAAACTTTACCAGGTAAAATTAGTGAGAGAACATGAACTGCATGTACCAACATCTTGAAAAGAAATCAGCACCGCAGATACATATTCATTTTTCTGGGTTTGTTATCTTCAATGAATCCATGGCAACTGTACATGTGCTGCAAAAATCCTGACCATTTAAGAAATTTCATCTTTGGAGTTAAATAGCAAATTGAGTTTCACCACTGCTGAATCTTGCTGCATAATTCTAAGTGTGTGAAATTGAGGAATATAATTATGCTTTTTAAAGATAAAGCACATATTGAAACCCACTGAATTTATTTGTAGTAGATTATCAAATTATTTAGATTATAACATCTTTAATTGCTAAAATAACTACCAGAATTGGTCCTCATTGTACAAAAAAAAAAGAAAAAAAGTTTTATGTTTGTTTTTCCCTCAGGACATTTCTGTAATGTGCTAAGAGTTTCAGAGTATACTCAGAAATGCACTTGGAAAGTGAAGGCCCTAGCAGTTCTGCATTTGTTCAGAAAAGAATGCAGTTATATATGAGATAAAAGCAATTAAGACATGACTGCTTTTCTAAATTAACGTTCCAGCACTGTTTGCTTTTCAAGAGCTCGAATATATATGTGGCTTTAAAAAAAGGGTAGCATTGAAGTGGTTAATATTATCCCAGCAGGACTATATGTTAAAAATCACAACAAAAAATCCTAGTCCTTCTATCTGCACCACAGTTTAATGTTTTTTCTCAGAAAATCCAATTTGACTATATAAAATGAGAGAAGAAAATGCATATAAACAGGAGCACTGAGACAAAAATTGTTATTGTAGTACTCTAAATTAATAAGTACATTTAAAAACTGTACATGTATGTCAGATTGTGCATCCTATGCTACACCTGTCTCTGCTATTCTAATTTGCATGAACTTTACACAGTGGCTTATTCTTTGACCTGTGATGACTATTAACTACTGCAAAGATAATTCAGCTTCTAACAGCCCATGAATGATCTCAGTCAAGATCTTGTTTTCTGAGTGCTGCACAGAAAAATAGAATTAAACATGATTTGTATGTATAACTTCAAGTTGCATAGGTCTAAGTTGTATGAGCTCAATTTCCTTCAAATTCGTAAAGAAGTCAATGGAAAGAATTCATTGACTTAAGCAAGAAGAGATCAGATTCATGAATAATACTCTGTCTTAATCATCATATAGCAGATTTTTTTGGAAGTGCATAAATAAGAGTAAGCTCTAGTCTTACTAAATAATCAGTTTCACTGTTTTCCTTTAAGTGAACACTTGTATTTAGTCTATTTTATTTAAATATTATTACAGTCTATAAGTATGTTGTCTCTGTACACATTGGCGACCGCTGGGGAGCAGAAACCTTTGCAAATGTTTGGATCACTCTCTATGGCAAAAGAGGGGACACAGGTGTGAGGAAACTTCATACATCTTTAGCAAAAGGAAGAAAATTTCAAAGGAACAAGGTAAAGGCACAAAAATGCTGCATTACATATACATATGCTAATGATATGAGGCTAACATTACCTCCTCTGCATCACTTAATATATGCTCAGATTGTATCTTGTGAATTGAGAACAGAATTTGTCTTCTGGATATTTATGGCAGACCGATGACAATGTTATTTCCTAGCCGAACAGGAAGAAGCCCATGTGATAATCAGGTTCCATAGGAGCACATACAAAACAGTTTGCTATGAGAAAGCAGATCATCTTATTTTTACTCACTGCCAAGATAGYCATGCTCAGGAAAAGAGTGTTAGATTTCTATGAAATTATTCCATTAGACAATTACAGCAGCAGTTTTCCTAGGGTAAAATTGGATTCAATAATCTGATAAACTTTCTAACTTTTACTTTTCTCTACATCTCTACACTATGCTTATATACAGAAGAGAACACTATGCCATAATTATTTTAATTTGCCTTCATGTACAGATTTCCCCTAGAATACCTTAATTATAAAGATTTATGATTTCTGCTTACAATCTGGCTATCAATGGTTATTTGGTTATTGTTAATTACAAATTTGATTTTTTTTTCATATAAAAGTATTCATAACATTAGTGARAGGAATGCTATTTTTCTATTATTTTTTATTTTAAAAGTGACCCTGATAATATAGAACTTTGGCAAGGAATATGTTCTTAAAAGTCACTTTGTTAATATCTTATTTCTAATTCTCCTATAATCTGTCTTGAAAATTTCTATTATTGAATCTGGATTTTATTGGGATAATGGTGTCTGATTATAATCTGAGCCACAGTTGTGTAAGTGCTATTTGTTTATAAACTTGTTGAGCATTATTAGCTACTGCTAAGTCTATCTGGCCCTTAGCTAGGCCATACACAGAACATCTGGCTCTCTTATGAAACAAGAAAGAATTTAGTGGGGCATATGATTTATTTCTTTGTATTTCACATTCCTTCTTTTTTGTTGTTGTTGTTKTTGTGTCATTCCTAGGTTTTCTTCTCTTTGTCTTATCTTCTTTGTTCTGCTTTCCTTTCCATCTTTTGAGTCTTGCTCAAAGTTCCTCACATTCCCCACTGTCATCTTAAACTTCTCTCCCTCTTACTCACTCTTTTTTGTAATTTTATTTTTCTACATTGACTTTCATTTTTACCAAAAGAGAGAGACCTTTCTAACTATTTTAGAAGAGTTTAGAAAGTTTTCCTGTAGTGAAGACAGTTTTTCTAGATTTCCAAATTCTCTTTAGGACTCTATTAATATGTTGGTTTGCATGATTTTTTTTTTTTGAAACTAGCATCTCACTAAAACCCAGGAGTTCAATTAGAACCAAAATTTTGTCATACTCCTTTGACAGTCTGAAAGTTGAGGAATATGTAGTTTTATGTAATTTAAAATGACTGACGAAATACTCTAGATTTTCGGAAGACTGCATGAAGTTACAGGGCATTATTAGTGATGATGTAGTATACAGTGTTAGAAACAAATTGTATTTACTTTTTTAGATTCAGAGAAGAGAGGTTGTGTTAAAACAGATGTTACATTACAAACAAAAAAAAAGTAGAAAACAAATCAAAAGAAAAAATAAATATAGATTTCCAAACTTCAGCCAAACCCAAGGCCAAAGTTTCCTTGAAGTTCAGGCATATTCAGGTCCAAAATTTTTGGACTGTGTTCTTCTCATCTTGCTGATCTTTATTTGTATATATTTAAAAGGCAAACCTTCTTTACTAAGCATTTCCTATTTCAACAGGTAGACTCATTTTTGGTGGAAGCTGTTTCTCTGGGTCACTTGCAAAAAGTGGTCATCCAACATGATGGAGAAGGATATGGGGCTGGGATGTACCTAAAGATGATAACGGTCAGGGAGTCTCAGGACTCAGACAAAGAATGGGTTTTCCCATGTTGTGACTGGATTGATACCCATCTGGGATTATGTGATACTACTTGTGAGATTTTGACCATTGGTAAGCTTTTTTGGAAGACTGGCCTGCCTGTTTTTCTGGTTTTTTTTTTTTTTTTTTTTTTTTTGAATTTGACTATAACTCTTTCAGATTTCTATAATATATTTTCCTGAAAATAGAAGATTAAATTTTCATCTTCTTTTTACTATTACAGCAATACCACATCTGTTAAGGTCAAAGATAATTAAATTTAATACTTAGTGAGTATGGAATATCAGCCTTCTAGATTGAATTGAGCACATTGCAATGAAAGATTTAATGCAGGTATTAGAATATGAGACATATGCTTCAAGGCAATAATGACTTAAGTTTTATGCGCTACTTTCCAGGATTTCCAGAGAAAAGTTACTGTAGTTAAATAAGCCTAGTCTTTATCTGTGGTATTATACCACAGAGTGGAATACTGTGGAATTATATATGGAATTGCTATGGAATTATATATGTATAATACTGTGTAATACTGTGGAACTATACTGTAGCACTGCAAAGCTGCAGTATAGTTCTAGTAAGCTTAGTTTCTGCTCAGTTCAAGCCTACCTCTCCAGGAGTCATGCAAATCCAAATCCTCTTCTTGGCAAAAGAATACTGACAGATGGAAGTGGCAGGACTTTTGGCCATTTACAAGCAGTGGAAAGAGATACTTTCCTTCCATCCGGTGGAAAAAAAAATCCATATGAAGCTTCCATATGAAGCTAGAAATGAACTTCAGCAGTTTGATAAGAGAAAAAGAAGATGGCTTGAAAATATATGTCCATGGTACATATACAGTTACTTGAATTACTGCTTTTTTTTCCTTTTGATTTGTAGGAAGTAGATTTTACTGAGTTGCTCTTTTCCACTAATTCCTTTGTTTTCTGCATAGGATGGTTTAAACAGAGTAAAAACAAAGGAAAAATAATATGAGGGAAAAAAAAGGGAGAGAGAGGGAGATAACACCATTGATCTTTTGAGGATCTGGCAAATCTCTTTTTGTGTTTATCATATATTCCTCTGTCAATCTAACACTATTATAGCAGTGTTATATTACTAGAAAAGATCCAGTTACAAGTGCAGTTCATTGGTGTTATTCATTTTGTGTTAAGTGTCTACATGATACAGATGGCTGGTACTTCCAAATGATAAAATTATTTTTTGAGAAATATTGATGTTTGTTTTAAGAACAACTAATTTGACTTCTGAAAGGTGACTGAATATTCTTTTAATAATTATTTTTAAAAATGATGATAAAAATAACCAAGCCTCGAGAAAAAAAAAAAAAAACCTCTGAAACTAATGTTTAAAACCAGAAAGAGCATTAAGCTGTTAAATTCTTGGCCAAAAAAAAGAAAAAAAAAAAAAGAAAGAAAGGTAATAAAGGTATTGATGTGTTATTCTTAGGAAACTGTTGCCATAGATACAATATAACCTGCAAATACAGCTTTGTTTGTATACTGTAAATCCTGTTATATTATGCCATTCTCTCATTCTATTTTCTTTCTTCTTTTTCTTTGATCATTTTTAAAGGTAAAAGATTGATTTCCAGTCCAAAACTGCCCAAAATCAACATGCAGTTATCAGGTCTCTGGATAATGGACATCACTGGATCTGACTTGAACAATGAAGGAGATCCGATACATCTCTCTCTCATCTTCTATGGGGACCTGAATCACAAAGAATTGCCACTTCAAATTACTGGAAAAGCAGTTCAAATCAAAGTACTTCAACCTTTCTCTATTGCAAGAAAAGATGGGGAGTCGTATATTTCATAACCCTTTTAATTCTGTGATAAATACTTTTTTTTTTTTTTTTTAAAACTAAACTGCTAAATTGATAATCAAATCTTCTACATAGTTTGGTAGTTTACTGCTAGTAGATTTTTCTTTAGTAATCACTTTTGTTTGTGAATGTAACACTGTCACTTGAATAATGGTTCTTGAATGAACAGATCCTCCTAAGGTTTCATACTAAGTGAGCAAATTGTTCCCTTGGTGCATATCACAGTGTACGCCAGATTGCAGGTATTGATTTACAGATTTTATTTATCTCTCGAAAGTAAGCAGTTTGTAAATATCCAATATGACATGGGTTATGTTAGAACTTCCTGGGATGGCAAGAGAAGAGACAAAAATGTCATGGAACTCGCTTCATTTTCCTCTTTCCTGTAGATTTTTCACCTCTCTCGTGAAGTTTCTTGTGCCTGCCTTCTCTTGTGTATTTTTGTTCTCTTTTTTTGACTATTGTGATTTTCTTTTTCTTCTTGCTCAACTGCTTTTCCTACAACTTTTCTCCTTTCTTATTCTCATTTCCTACCTTTTGTTTGTCTCTGCTTCCTCCTGTTCCTCATCAACTGAAAAATTATCAAACATTTGAGATCCACTTTCTTTGAACTGGTATCTGCCTCTTACTCTGTCACCGTGGGTGAATAAGTCACAGAATAAGTGACTCAAGAGTTCACTCTTGAAGCTGTGATTCTTTCCCCAGTATCTATGCCATGCTCCTCTTATGCATTTCTGGGTTTGTTTTCAATGAATGACCAGTCCAGTAGAGCTTGGAACAGATTGAAAGTAAAAATTGCATCTGCCGCCTTTGGCTCAGGAAATCTCTGAGTCACAACATGCTGGAGGCCAAGAGCTATTCAAGGAAAGTACTTTTTTCTAGTCTTGTATTGCTTATTCCATGCCCTCTGTCACCTCTTCAGTTATTCTTTGTGGGTTTTGAGGAAACAATTGTTCCCTGCAAGAAAAATTTGTAATTTTTACCTTGATCAGTTCTGTAGTGAGGTTTATTGTGCAGCTGCAGAAATGAACATATAGCAGGACTGAGGGAAAGGGAGAAAGTAGACAGGGCAGTTGGGCACTTTGCTTAGKAGAAATATATTCATGAACCCATGTTGGAGCATGGAGCAGGAGAAGCAGGTAACAAAAGAAAATCAGCAAAGAAGAAGTGAAGGGAGATCTACTAAAAAACCCAAAGAGTTAATATGCTACTTTTGATACTGGAGAGAAGCCTTAGGTTTCCGAGGCAGAGATTGTCTCCTGGTGCTTTTTCTGCTTGTCAGTTAAATAGGACTTAATGATTGCTCTACAGAGGTAATTGGCTGTATATTGATGTTTTCTACTCGTTTTCTTTGATAAAAGAGGAACCTGGCTAGTCTGCTTAGTCTATAAACATGATTCAAAATGAAGTGTAGCCAGTAGCTTTTCCTCTGCTGGATAACCTTTGCTAAAGATGAAGAGATTAAAGTTGAAATTATGAAAGTGGAAGTCTATGGTCAGAGACAAGATTGAAGTGAGGTCATATGCACTTCTACTGGCTGGGCAATGTTTGCAATGAAAGAAGAGCAGAGAAGAATAGAAAAAGACTATTGCTTTATCCTTTTTTATTCACAGCAGGGACAATAATTATTATTAACAATTATTTATTGTTACTTATATAGTTATTATTGTTAATTGCTAATATTTATTATTATGGTTATTATTACTATAATACTAGTGTTAGTATTATTACTATCATTATTATTTATACCCTTCTTTACCTCCACTTACACAAGTGGAATAAGTCATATAAACTTTGCAGTTTGCGGTACAACCGTAGGATTCTTTCTCAAACATGAATGCAGAAGAACAGTTCTAGTGGACAACTTCTACAAGAAAATGTAATGTATAGTGTAGAAGAAGGAACACATTGAAGAGAGGATTCATCAAACAGTAATTTTGAATGTGTTCTCAAAATCAGAGTAGTTCTCCTTCAAATTTAAAATTGCTTCATTTCTATATTCTTAGTTGTAGTAGAATTTCTTGTACTGTTCAAAAATTTTTAATTGACTTGAAAAATTACGTGTCTGCAATAGTGTCCCAATTCAGTGAATTWTTTTTTTGTACAAAACACTGTGCTTTGTTCTGTGCACAAATTTCTGCAATTTTCTGCGTTGACTCATTCTCTGGTATCAAACGTCTAGAGTGCCATTTCCTCATTCAGAGCAGCAGATCAATTTTGTATTGACTAGAAATGGAGAAAACAGTAATAGTAATAAATCTGTTCCACTTCCATACATTTATGGAAGTTTGTTCAACTGTTACATACAAATGTATTCAAATGTTCTGTTAAGTCCATTTGATCTTGCACAGCTAGGATGGTATCCATTCATTTTCTCTTTTTTTTCACGTAGGATGAGCTGACAGACATTGGCTCAGTCTACAAAGTTCAGGTAACTGGCCCGCATAGCAAATTAAAACAGCCATGGCACTTAGATTTACTGCATATGAAGCACACAGGCACGAATGAAGAGATGTATTTAGCCTTTGATTGCTGGTTCAACCCTAATGAAGACAAATGTGTGGAACTGCCAGCTCTCTATGCAGATCAGGAGCCMTTGCCTGGTAAGCTAAGTCTTTTTTTATTATCGGAGGTCAGATTCTGTCACTGTGGTATAAGGACATGAAATATTGTGTGAGAGTTCACAGAAGAAGAATTTTATACTAAGTAATATAATTCTTTGCATGTGAAATTATTACAAGAGAAAGCTAAGTACGCAGAAATCATTGGTACTCGCCTTAACAACAAATGTTACAATTGCTAATACCAAAGACATTAATTACATAAAATCTTGATCTCTTTCATGTTAAAGCAGTTTTATCTCTTGTTTATTTATTACCTTCTCTCCCAAAATGCTGTACCAGTTAAATATGTGTACAAAATGTTATTTGTTGTATGATACTACCTTAATCTTCCTATTTACAAAGAAAGCTATGACCTGGAAATTTATTCAGTTTCTGAGAATGAAGGAATTGCAAGGACCTCCTACAAAACAGAGACAGGTGTTTCAAAATGTGTTACAATCTGTCAGAAAAATATATCCAATAATTTCAATTACATTAGTGTTTTATTGATGTTGATGAGAAATACAGACTACAACAAGTATTATTCCAGCAACAATATATTAAGCATCACTTTTCAAGTATATAGCAGAATTGTATGGATGGATGGTGCCAGAGATATGATTAAGTGATTCCCTCTTCCCCCTCAGGAATACAGAGAACAAGCAATTGCATACTGATATCTTTATCTCTAGCTACTTAAGAACAGGCTTCCTATCTATCCAGCTCATTAGAATAAAGAGAATTGATGGGAATAGTAAAGATCAAATATTGAAGCTTTTAGTGACAGTTAAGAGGTTTTTTTTTTTTTTTTTTTTTTTTTTTTTTTTTTTTTTTTTTTTTCCCAGAGGCTACAGTACAAAAAATATTCTGCTTAAACAGAGACTTAATTCCATGTGAACTTTTGCACACTATTCTCTAAGGAGGCTTTCCTAAATATTTATCACATTTAAGTTGAATCTTGAAAAAATAAAACACTGAAGACCTTTTAAACCTRTGAATATATGTGGATTTACTCCTTTTTATTTAACAAAAATTGAGTAAAATTATAACAGTTGATAATTATTTCAGAATTTGAGATTGCTATATTTTGACTATTTGTAAAAAGTCTGGAAATTGAAAACAACATAAAAATCATGAATGTACTTCTCAAAGTTTCTACTGTGCTAAGAATTAAATGGAGATAATGTCAGACAGTTTTATCTTGTTTAACAGAACCATTCAGCTTAAGATAAAATAGAATATTTTTTGAATAGTTGAGTATTATGTCCTGACTTATACACATGTTCATACAAACCTTTTTGTAGAGTTTAAACTAAAGAAAATATGTCTGCATCTGTTAACATGCAAAATGTCTTTTGAAACTCATGTGTATGCCTGCTGATGAAAGGTGCTCTATACAAATGATCTTTCATTGAAATGATTATGTCAGTTTTATACTTTGTGGTGCTAATATTAGTTCAGTCTAAAATGTCTAACATCAGCATCTTCTCTGTATTCCCATTTGTTTACTGGTGACAAAAAGCATTTCATTGTTCAGTGTGATCATGCTATTTACTGCTTTGAAAGACATATCCACACATGGAGTTGTCTTTAATAAATGTCTTGGTGGAATAAGTTCAAACAAAGAAGAAAACAAAATTTGAAATATACAGATCATTGCTATCCCCAGACAAATCAAACGGCAAGTAGATGGTCGTATAGGGAGCAAAGTAAATTTTAAAAGCTAAGCATCCAAATAAACACTACCCGTTATCAGTAATGTCAATCACCTGGCGGTAATGAGATATGTTCATACCATCACTTCTGTTCTAAACTGATTGCATAAGATTTGTCAAGGCAAAAATACATGCTCATTTGTGATCTTGAGGAAAAACACAATTCCTTTGATAAAAAGTCCTCACTGTTTTATTTTTTTTTCTCTCTTAGATCCATAATCCATAAATACTTTTTTTGTTTGTTTTTTTGGGGTATTGTTTGGTTGGTTGGTTGGTTGSTTGCTTGCTTTTTTCTCCTCTTCCAGAACTCTAATGTCAGAGGCTTGTATCTTCTGAGCATGTCTCCTACATATCCCACCTCATCTGGTGAGACATGAGGATGATTTCATGCCCAGTAAATCCAATCACTGGTATCAGCTGTCATGGAATGTATTCTTAATGCCTAAAGAATAAAAGAATAAGCAAAATTTAAACTTGATTCTCTCAGGTCTGAAATTGCTTTTTCTTCCAACTGTAGAAATATTTCTTCTTTTAGAAATATTTCTTCTTTTAGTGTCCCCAGACACTATTATATTAAATAATCAAGGTCAAATGACTCTCTTGCATAATTCTGTTAGCTTCTGGGGAACCATCTCAGAGCTGAATTCATCTTCGGGATATTAACCAGTATCACAGAGACAAATACTTTCTCTGATTTTTTTTTTTGACTTTAATATATTCATGCTAGTATTTATGATCATATTTTTAGACTATCTATGTCATCAGACCGATTAATTTTAGTTCAAATTTTTGGGCTTCAGATTAAAAGAAACTTTGTTTCCTTAGGAATTCTGTGATAATTTCATGAAAGACATATTATGCATATTAACATATTGAGACCATCTTATTTGAAAATAATCCTATCAATTACAATTAACATTTTAGTACTTCCTGCAGATAGTTTCTCTGTTTCTTGTTGTCTTCTAAATCATTTTGTGATGATTTCTAGAATGCTATCCTCTATGTCTGCAGTGAAGGTGTATATGAGGTCCTTTTACAACAGTACGTATCCCAAATTAGGAGCTGTTTGAACTTAAAAGAAGAACTTCGTTAAATGTAGCTGTAAAAGTCAAAATGTAGCTATAAAATTAAATGCTGAAGATCAGTGTCAGCTTGTTTCTGCTAAAGGACTTTTATGCACTGACACCCACCCCAATCAATTCTTTTGAAGAGTTTAAGAGCCTAACATCTGTAGTAATAAACAACTGCATTAATAAACATAATCATCCTACTTAAACAATCATTCAACTTTATTTTTACAGTTTGTAGATGAAGTGCAATATCCTCACTGCTGCTGCTAATAGCATTGATCTGTTAATAGTAGAAGTAGCAGCATGTATTCTAGCAGTAGGTTCATTCCAACCTAGATTAGCAGTTGCTAAATGGTTTTTGACTTTGCTAGATGCACTTCAGCCCGGTAGCCTTTGTTTATCAAGTAATTCACCTTTCATTAAAGCCAATGAAGAGTCTCATGTCARCCTCCAAAACAGAAATGGATCAGAGATGCTTGGACTACAGAAGCTTTATCACGGCCCAAATCTAGCATAGACACACTGGTCCAGGACTTGAGCTAGTGAAGAGCTCATGCTCTTTTGCTCTATTTCCTGATTCCAATTTTTGCTAACTTGAGTGTCTTTACAAGGACACAGATTTGGAGACATGATTCATATGATCAGTTGACAGCATTAGATCAAAAATTTTCTTTTTTTTTTTTTTTCTGCAGCAAAAGTATATGTTTTTAAAATATGCCTGCACACGGTACTTGCTTTTAATTCTCAATTTCCTGACATTTGTTTGAAAAGAGAACTAATTCCTCTGGGAATATCAACAATTTCCTCTGGGAATCTCATTATCCTTATTGCCTCTTTCTATTTGTTTTATCTTTTTTTTAGGCTAGAAATTTCACAGAAGGCAGTGGAAGGAAAGCCACTCTCAGCTATCCACCATCTCTGAAATACTGCACCCTGCCCGGTTCACATTCACATCCCTTCCATTTTATCTTTCAGTAAAGAACCTGCTAAGCTACAGAGAACAGCAAGGAAGAAAAAAGGCCTTGAAAGCTCCAGGAGGAGAAGAGGGGTTCATTTGATAGTTCATTTTCTCCCCCACTGCCTTAGTGTTTCCTGCCTTTGAAAAACTTACTTCTATCACCTGATTTGAATACAGAGCTAAAACCATAATGGTGTGAATGGTTCAACCATACCACTGACATTCAGGCAGGATAAGATCATAACATTCAGACTATTCACCCTGAAAGATTATTGAGATTTCATTAGGAAAATGTTACTGAGTTACCATAATAAATGGTATTTGAATTCCATTATAGTTCATTGTAAAATCAACAAAAACTAGAAACTTCAGGGCAATAGCTTCTGCCTCTTTATTCTTGTTTTTCTCCCTTATATGAACATTATGTGGTGATTTTTAGTTTCTCATTATGCTTTTTTTTACATCTGAAACAGAACTCTTACAAGTTGGATTCATCAGAGAAAAAAATGGCAAGGTTCAAGAACACATTTTATTTTAGCAGATTGTTATTGCTAGTGATACCTCATTCATTTCACTGCAAGAATGCTCCCAAACTCAACCCACCCTAAGAACTCTTATCCTTTTTCCCAGCCAATTATTGTTATGTATTCCTTCCTTGGTAAGGATTATTTTGTATATATGTGTGGCTCTCATATAAACCTTTTGACAATCAATGGCATCCACTTGCTATGAATATTGTGAACTTCGGATTATATATTAATTGGTTCTGCAGGTTCATGTGAAAATATTGAGTCAATAAGAACATTCAGATATATTTTAAAATTTTCAATATATATGTTTCTCCTGTGAATACAGGTGCTTTGGAACACTTCTATATTTGTATCCATTTGTGTGATTAAAGATAAGCACAAAATTAAGGTTACTAATTATTGAGGAACAAAGCACAGCAAATAATTGAGTACTGTGATTTCTAATCCACCCTATATGAGGAATCAGTCTTGAAAAGCAAATTTTTCAGGCCTTATTAACACAAGAAGCCTATTGACTTCAATTATCTACTTACATGAACAAAACGAAATAGGGAAAGCAACACTCTAGATAGATGACAGAGCCAGTCCTTTCATATCCTAGCTTCTCAGAAGACACAACTACTATCTGCTGCTGAGGTGTCCTCTGGACAGCCCACGTACTTTCAAATTTCTGAATCTCCAGCAAGACCAAATCAGTGTAGCTACATTGACTTTAATGCAGGTGTTCTTACATTTCTTGTCAGGAAATGCATATTTGAAAAGATGATGAGATACATTAGGGCCTCAGTCTAGAAAAATATTTGGTTCCTATCATCATACATTGGCCATGTCATCAAGTACAAGTACTTTCTTAGATTATGGTTTAAACAGTATAAACTTCCCAAGGGAAGTCCCTGTATTAAAGTAAATAGCGCTACAGTGAAATAAAGTTACTTTTCAGAAAACAGTTTTTCTCAAAGGATGTACGTATCCGGAAAAAAAAAATGAAGAGAAACAAAGACATTGCAGAAGTTTTCTGCATTGAAAATGCCTTTAATAGCATTGATTTCGATATTAATTTTTAAATCAGCATGCAAGAACTGCCCATGAAGTTATTTGTTTCTGTGATACAATCTTTTTTATTTCAACCATATCAAGGAATAGCTATATGAGATGTCACAGTATTTGAATTCAGCCTCTTTGATTATAACACTCAATATGAATAGAACCAACTTGTGAAAAGAGCTGTAAGAAGAGTTTAAAAATAAATATCCTCAGAACACTTTTCTTCTCTCCCTTCTCTCCCATCACCTACACTTGAGAGTAAATAAGAGCTTTAGCTTCTGGTTTCTTATTTTTTCATGGTGTGTTTTTAACAGTTTCTCCAAAATCTACTAGAATCTTCTTATATCCTCTCAGGTGAAGTTTTGGTAGGACAGTTTGGATAAATTGTATCATTTCTTCTTCACAATATATTTATTATATATACATCATTTCCCTTCCTTACATACTACACACCATTCCTGGGAAGAAGCCATTGTGCAATCAGCAGGCCTTAGGTAGGGACGAGCAGCAGAATAAGGCTGCGAGATATTCTGTGGTGTGCAATTCTCCATAGTCAGGAAGATGTCTGTGTTTGCTTTACCATGTCAGAGATGAAGACTTTTGTACTTGGGGCTGAACAGAATGGAGCAGTCAGAGACAGCTTAGTGCTTTTACAATGTCATATTTTATGGGTGCTCAGTCCTTAATAAAAAATCAGTCTTCAGCCTTGTGACAGAAAGTAGATTCTGCAGATAAGATACGCATTCTTGAATACATTCAAGGGCCGTGCATATTGGTTATTTTCCTAAATGTAACATTGCAATTTACAGTGGATAAAAATGTATCATTCTGAAAAGTCTTAGATGTGTGTTACAAGTCTGTGTTGCTGTAAAATGAGATTTTTTTCTTGGACCTAAGTAATGGTGCTTGTGTGTGGAAGCAAAGGAACATGCAGACCATTTAACTTCAGACACTTGACTTCGAGTGTCTATTCCTAGAATATATGGAAACCCTCATAGGTGTTTTCTATAGCACCTACCTTTTCCTACTGACTACTTAGCAGTCTCATAGTCCTAATTTAGCCACCCAAGATAGATGCCTAAAATAACAGCACCAAGAGTATACTGTTGAACATACATTTATTACGGTAGTCTGAGTAAGACCAGACTTTCAATACTAGGAATTTTTTTGTTTTCTTGATTCCTTCTGGTTAAGATAGTGCAAAAAATCAGGAAAATTGAGAGGGTGGCCTCCTCTTGTTTAAGAGTTTTCTTTTTCCTTCTCTCCAGGATAAGGACAGGGGCCAAAACAGGTCATTCTAAAACTGAATATAGGAATATTTCCAAAGAAATTCTGGGATTTCTTAGGAATTGATGGAGTTGCTGATCCCTGAACTGCTGCCACCCTTTCAATTGCAATAAGTTAAAGTAGAAGCAGTCTTTTGCGTGCAGTCAGAAGTTTGAAGTCCTGTTTCTGCTGGATCACTGCCCTGTGTCAGAAAGAGGCAAGGAAGCAGGAGCTGAATGTGGTGCTCTTAGATGGCTCTCCGAATTTCTATATTATGAGCACAGCTGAGAAAATCAGGAATGCATTCCTTTAAGCTCACATTTCCCTTATCCAATGTTCATTTGTAGGCTATTATATTGACAAATATAAGTGGGAGGTCGCTTTGGAGAGTGAAAAAAAAATCAACTTTTTTTTTCAATGTATACATTAAAGCTCTATTTGAAAGCTTTTTATAGTATTTTTGTTATTAAGAATTATTTCTATTTCACCTTAATGAAAGTGTTTTAACTTTCTGATCATTTTATTAGTCTGATGACTGAGAAAACTTGATAGTCTTGTGTTTATTCTATGGGAGATAATTAGAAGAGTTGAAAGCTTCTTAAAACAATCAGATTACGGCTTTTTTTCTAAGCCAATTTACCAGTGCTGAGATTTAGCTTCATTTCTAGACACAAAAAGATAGAAGAACAAAGAAATATGGGTCAATAATCCTCGAGATTGGAATTTAGCTTTTCCAAGGAGTATTTAAACATGCATCCAGTGTGGAATTGTGTGGAATAATTGTGTGGAAAGGGATTAGTTACCTTGGAGGTAGAAGCAAATAATATAGGGGAGATTCTGTGCTCCAAACAGTGGCTGGTAAAGTTGTTCAGGGAGCAAAGTGTGAGGAAGAATTAAATTGTATTCTGCAGATTGACAAACAGGCAGTTATGCTTGGAAATTAGGAAAGTCTAGTGTTTATTAATGTCAGCAAGACTGAGGAGACCTGTGCTTTGAGCTGGGGCTCTGGGGCTACAGACTAAAGAAACTTGCAGTTGTCCATCTAGATTAACTAAAGTGAAAATCCTTTCGTATCTTTGATACTACAAGCAAAATTCCAGCTAGAGGAGTGTACTGTGCTCTGTGTCTTACTGGGGCTTATTTTTTTAGAGAGTGCGACACATTATGTTGTAATTATTCAGAATAATTTTTAGTTTTACTGACTCGGTTAGAGTCAGGCTAGATATCAGCTCTTGACATGGGCTCAGTTTCCCAGCTTCATGGATGTAAAACGGCAAAATCAAACTTTTTTTTCTCAACTTTCATACTTTTCATTTAAATCGTAAGAGTTTAACTTTTGCTACATTTACAGAGTCCTGATCAAAATGAGAACATCCTGTTGGCATGTACCTCAGGCTTGGTAGCAATATAGTTAATAACTTAAGAAAAGACAAACTTTAAGAAGGCAACATACCTTCCTATTAAATGTTTCCTATGTGAAAATGGTGGAGTAAAAGACAGAGATTGATAAAATATGCTGGTGTTTGGCAAGAAAGCAAAGATTTACTCATGTTGACTTTTTGGTTTGCAATCTATATTTTCTCTAAAGTTGTGGAATATTCAATCCATTTGCACACGGGAGACTTGAAGAAAGCAGATRCCATTGGTGAAGCCTATATATGTATTCAAGGAGAAAGAAGCGACTCAGGAAAGCGATGGCTTAACTCAAGAAACAGTCTGATCACTTTTGCTAGAGGGCAGGTAAATTAGGAGGAGAATAATTAAAGTTGAAAATGTCTTCCTGATAATTTATATACATATATATATGTATATATGTACACACACAAAGAAACTTTCATGTACAGGGTGTCAAAAAACTTTACTGCTTTCTGCGTATCCAGTACACATAATTTTCTGTGTAAGTGAGAGGTGATTTTCTCTGTAACTAAGAGATGATTTTCTCCAAATGTAATGTGTTGCTTTTAAGCTTCAGCACCATGGCACAACAGTAAATCAGTTAAGTTGATTAAGTGAGTCTGAGTTGGAATAGATATACCCTAAAAGCTGTCTTCCAATATTCCAGACATTTAAGGCCAAGGAGGTCTTAAAAAATCTATAATGCACCTAGTAGAACTGATGGAATTTCTTTAGAATATTTTGAATTTCTGCGTGCTTTGCACAACAACCATATTTTGTTAACTTTTCTGAGCATTAATATCATTGCTCCAGGCAGTGTTTTACATTTTTTTTAATGTTTCCTTCAGTCCTTCCATTCAGTTATTGCTTTTATGCATTATAAAATACTTCATCTTCAAGCAGCTTTAACGGTTCTTCCGAGAAATAATTGTTGGTTTAAGAAAAGGTTAACTAAAGGTTAACTAAAAAAAAAAATCAGATCAAAATAGAAATATTTAGCTTGTACTTTTAGACCTCTTGTTTGTTTTGTTTTGAGTTCAGTTTTGTTGCTAATGCTTATTTTTGGTTTTGGTTTGTCTGTATAGAATCACAAAATAATTGCATAGAATAATTGAGAGGGAGGGAATACTGACTCCAGTAACACAACTCACTGATTCCAGTAAATACAGTTGTATTTTTTAGTGCTTTGGTGCTTTAGTGATGCTTTAGTGCAGCAACCTTGAAAAATCTTCCATTCGACATATGCTTCATTTATTCTTTAAACTGGCTGTGTTTATTTTGTCTGCCCTCATTTTCATAAATTGTACAAGTCAGAGCAATTTTTGTATGAAAACACGTTGAACCTTCATATTCATGGCACTCTTGGATTATTCTTTAACTAATTTATTTGGAATATTAATGCCCTATGTCATGTTCATCAAGAACGGATCAAGGTCCTAGACCAGACTTCCCAAGAGTAAATAGGAAGTAATAATAAAATGATAGGACTCATTTTGATTTAAGCAGTAATATAGGGAATTTTATAAATCTATCTTTTTTGCTGAGCAGGTATACATAATATATATTAAACAGCTTAAAGAAAGCTGCACAGTTAGTCTTCTTAGTAGAATGGATATAGTGTCAGTTTCTGTGAATCTTAAATCCAGTGGTAATCAGATGCTCTTTCAGATTCATGAGGGAGTTTTTGCTATAAAATTCAGATTCTGAGTTAGTTTCCTAGTGGCTTGGTAAGGAGACTAAATTCTTCCTTTGGAACTTCAAATGACTTTTCTATATCTTGATCTGCAGTGCTCTAAAATTATCTCAAATAGGAACTGTTTGGATCTCCTCACAAAGTTTTCATTGCATACCTTCAAATCCCAAAACAGGTCCCTGGCTTTTGTCTTCAAATTKTATTTCCAGACAGGCCCTACCAAGTCTGCTCGATCTGTCTTCAACAGAATTGCTCACAAATTCACAAGAGATAAAACATAAATCAAAAATTCGGTCAACAGGTCAAAAATACTTTTTTTTTTTTTGTTATTATGTTTCTGTTATCCCAAGGAGATTATGCTTACCCATTCACGAATAGTATATTTCCAAACCTTGTTTCTTGATGGCCAGTTCAGAAAAGCAAGCAAACACACAGGTTAAGAAATGTATGTCCCCAGGGTCAGAGTGCAGCTCTTTTATTAAAAGGGAAGAAAGACAAATGAGTGAATTAAAATGAAATGTTTATATGACAATAAAATTATTATAATAGGAAAAAAATACAGTAAAAAAAAAAAAAAAAAAAAAAAAAAAAAAAAAAAAAAATAAAAAAAAAAAGATAAAAAATACAGTAAAAAAAAAAAAAAAAAAAAGGAAAAGTTATCAGGAAGACTGATCAACCATGCGATTCTATTCTACAAGAAAAATATCCTGTATCATAGACATGGCTTGTATTGGCAGTGAGGTCCAAATCTTCCCAGATATCTATTCATTTGATTCTCATTTAGCTGCCTAGTTAACTGAATATTAGTGAAAAAGAAATTTCTCTGGATCTTCCAAATTATTAATACCTATTAGTTAGGTATTACATACCTAACTTTCTTCAGTTTAATTGAGAATAAGTTATTTAACAGTCATGATGTTCTGGATCAATGCAGTTGGTACTTTCAATAGAAGCACCAATGGATATGATTTGGTAATACCAGTCTGTGAGTACTAAAATAATTAAGGTTCATAGATTTTTCTAATGTTTCGATAATTACTTCTTATAAACCACAGCAACATTTTGAAACTTTTAAGTTATTATTCACTGGCACATAAAATGTCAATGTTAGTATATACAGTGTTATTATGAACTCAAAGAAAATGGAATGCCATGAATAGGAAAAAAAAATCCCTTATATTAAGATACAAAGCCTTGAGTCAAAATCACATACATATTTAATTTAACTAAATTATAATTTTAATTATTTTCACATTGCAGGTGGATACGTTCAAAATCAAAGCTGTATACCTTGGCAAGTTGAACCAAGTTCTTGTTGGGTTTAAGAGTCCAAAAAAAGGTTGGTATATGTACTATATCACAGCATTATTTCTTACAATCATTTCAGTTTCATAACAGTGGAGCTAAAATTTGGTTTTCTCTTAAAAATAAATAGAAACAGCAAGGAGTATCATGAAATGGTATCTCCTTCACTACTTCATCTACACTTTTGCCCCAACAGTTTCCAGATGCAGTAGAAGAGAGATTCTACAGATACATAGCTTGTACAGACAATGTCATTAATCGAGATAAGGCTGTTCCAGGGCATAAAATAGCCTCTCTTGTTCTTCTGTCTTTGTCAAGAACAGGACTATAAGATGACTTTGTAGGTCAAAATCAAATATTCACAAATAACTGTTTTGGGAACTACTTACAATTTATTTCCTAAACAAACATTGAAATGAATGTTCAGACTTTCACTAATTTCATCAAGACTTAGAAAGATCAAATTTCCAGATAAAATATTTAATTCCTGTGCCTACAGCTAGTTTTTGTGAACAGTGACTCTGCATCGTGGAATCTTCACAGAATGTGTTAAACTGAGTGAAATCTAAGTCTTGGTGAAATTAGTGAAAGTCTGAACATTCTTGGGGCTCAGTTTAGAGCAGAAGCCTCAACTGAAAGCAGTTGGAAACTTACAGCTTCCCCATGTTTTATTGAATGTGCTGTGCAAAAGGCATTCTTAAATGTGGCTAAATCTCAACACAATAACTCTATATGGCTTGTACCATTCATTCTGAGGCTAAGAAGAATTCCTTTCCTGAATAGTGTGAAAGGACTGGATACTATCATTACATGATCAATGGATAATATCATTAGCATTTACAACAGTGTTCACCAATCAGCCTATTCTAGAGGAAATCAGGTAATTTCTGTAATATATTTTCAGAGGCCCTATTTCCTAAAGAAGTCAATCAAAACCCAACTTTTTTTTTAAGGTAGAATCTTATGACTGCATAGTCAGAATATGTTATTTCTTTAAAAGTATAAATTAATGATGTTCTGTTTATTTTCAATCAGACGAGTGGTTCTTGGAAAAAATTGTTATTAAAGAAGTCATTTATCCTTTCTCCACATACATCTTTGTTCACAATAACTGGATCAACAAACGCTCTAAGAAAGATTTTGTAGAAGTGATAATTCCACTCAAAGGTAATACCAACAGAAATGTCCTGTATTTGCATGAATTGTTATTGCATGGCAGAGCAGAACCAGCACAAGGCTACTTCACAGAGTAGGCAAAACTGAACTCTGAAATGTAATGGTGAAGGGCTGGTGCCAGAACCAATATAGTTCATGCTTTCTGTATAAGGAAATTATACGTGAGATAGAAAACATTGGAACATTGGAAACATTGGAATGGGTGAGGATCTTGTTCCTGCTGTGGTCAGAGATAGTAGTAATGAGTAGTACTTGTGGAAAGAACTAGTCTTCCTTTCTCATGCCCTCCAAGAGTGACAGTGGGTACTGGCGATAGGTATGCTGCTTTTGGAAGAAGCCATCATGCATCCGCCAATGCATGATATATCCACATGCAGAGATATATGAAGCTAGCATGCCTGCCCACATTTCCAACAGAACTCTTGCAGCCTGATTTCCCTGGGTTGGATTCATCCCTTTGGTAAGACAGTTTTGTATATTGTGGTTTATGCTGCCCTGTAGCTTTTATAATGGGTTCTGCATCTTTTCAATGCAGAAACATCTGAGATATCTCCTCTCACAAAAGAATTTGATATGAACAGCCAAGGACGATGGCAAATGTGGCTGGACTGTGTTCATGTACCAGAAGATGCTCCCGATATTCAAGTTATTATATTTGGAGAAAAGGGGAAATCCTCTGCACAGAAAGTTCAGAATCTGAACAACAATCCATTTTTGGTTTGTTTCTTGTTTATTTCATAAAAATTTTGCCAGACTACTTCAGCAAAGCAAACATTGTAACCTATTCATAAGAACTGCATGAACTGACTGTTTTGTCATAGATGATAGTTATACCTCAATGGTGTAAAGAGATAGCACTTGGAGTTGTTTTTATATGTGTTTGAATACATACATCCAGACATCTTTGCTTTTGAACATTAAAATAACAGAATTGAAACAACAACTAGAGCCAGAAATGAGCTTGAGTTCAAAATTTCAGCTTGAGCTCAAATTTTATATCAGAAATGTGCTCAAGGGGAAGTAAGTATGACAGGAAAAAAAAAAAGAATAATAAAATGAATGAAGCTTGGGTATATAGAATCAATCATACACTTCCTTGCCTTTCATCTGTTTTTTTTTTAGGCTCTGYAGCCAATTCTTAAATTGAAAAAAAAGAAAAATTATGAAATACTATGAATCCAAAATCATTTAAAATCTTAATGAGATTTCACCATCCTAACATTAATGTTCTTGGCTAGTGTTTTTATTCTACTTGGTTCATTTATCTTTTAAGTTAAGCTTATCACATATCTTCCAATTACTTATAAAATATATACCGCATATAAAATATATGCCGCGGTATAAAATATATACCTCCCCTAAATTACTGTTTGATGTTCTGGGCTCCCCAGTATAAGAGGGACGTGGAGCTTCTAGAGAGGGTCCAGMGGAGAGTTACAAAGATGCTTAAGGGAATGGAACATCTCTCRTATGAGAAGAGGCTGAGTGAGCTGGGCCTGTTCAGCTTGGAGAAGAGAAGGCTGAGAGGGGATATGATTAAACATGTATAAGTTCATCTGAGGGGAGAATGTAGGGAGGAAGGGGCCAAGCTCTTCTCATTGGTGGCCGGTGACAGGACAAGAGGTAATGGGTGCAAGCTGCAACACAAGAAGTTCCATCTCCATGTGAGCAGGAACTTCTTTAYTGCAAGGGTGACAGAACCCTGGCACAGGCTGCCCAAAGAGGTTGGGGACTCTCCTTCTCTGGAGATCTTCCAAACCCGCCTGGATGCCACCCTGTGCCCCATGCTCTGGATGTCTCTACTTGAACAGGAAGGTTGGAAGCAGGTCCCTTCCAACCTCAAACATTCTGTGATTCTGTGATAAAGTTCTTTTTTTTTTTTTTTTCCTATTTTTTTTAACAGTTGTCCGTTGGTGATATTGGAGACATAACAAAAGTTTCCTTCTTGTTATCTTGTCCATGTTTGGGAAGAGGAATTAAACTTCAGAAGGTACTCCAAAAATTACATGTGAATTTGGAATATTTTGCATAATATCAGTATAAAAATCTGTACATTGAGAGACAGATTACGAACTTCAGCTTGATACAATATTAGCAGAGCTGCATTTTTTTCTCTCAGAGCTATCTTGTCTCTACAGGTGGTTGCCTACAGCACACAGATCTCTGTGGGTAGAGCTGCCTCATTTTTGCTTCCTGAAATATTTGTAGGTATATCTACTCACTAATGTGCAGATCCATATTGCATAGTCCATATTGACATGAAGGGCAGCCCTTTCTGCTGATGTTGGAAAATGTTAATCCCTCCATAAAAGTATTGGCTTTCTCCTGATACAGAGCAGCCAAGTTGTGGAAAACAATTAGGCTGGTGTTTGGGGATTTATTCAAGACAGTACTCTCATCAGTAGGGGTTAAACACATGATTAAAGAATATACTTAAGACCTCTCATAAAAGGATGGAGGAATGATTTAATGCTGTCAGGCTTCTGATTTATCCAGGTGTAARTGTAGGCCTTTTCCCAGGGCAGGTAGGGAGATTGAATGGAAAGATTTCAGGCATGACAACACTTGGACTACTGGGAAATACTTAAATCTTGAAAGTTAATTCAAGGAAAAATTGTATCAATATACTGTGCCTGGAGGAAAGGGTCTGAAAAGCATTTTGAACATAGCATTGATTTACTCTCAAGCTAGTGAAAGAATGTTTTTTCCATGAGAGGGTCACAGCAGTTCCTTAACTTTACTGTGGATGTAAAAGATAGAAGGATAATTCTCTAAAAAGAACAATCCAAAAAGTTCAGAAGCTGTTCTGAAGGGAAACCCTAAAAGAAGCTGCATTTTAATGTAAAATTTGAATGGCCTTATACTATATAATTACTTTCAAATAACTCATCTATACACCTGAAGCCCAAGTGGAATATTAAATCTGAGTTTATGAGCCCCACTGAGGAAATTCGTCTTTATCATATTTTTTCTTAAAATGTGTTCATTTTCCGCTAATTTTGCTCAGCTCAGACTCCAARAATGAAATGAGTAAGTATGAAAACCAATTTCTTATCTTAAATGCACTTCTCCAGGCCATTTGATGAAGCTCTGCAAAAATGTTGGCACTACACTCATTATATCCATTAAATGATTTAACATAAGACTTCACTTTCAAGAACTGATGATTCAAAACATGGCAGGGACTTCACAAATCTAAGTTTATTTCTGCAAAAAAAGTCTGCTTAATTTTCTCCTTAAAGCAAGCCATCTACAAATAGTTATGTRATTTATACTTTGAAGTACTTGTATGCTCTTCAGTACTTCAATAGTTACTTAGTAAATGGTTGATTAGTAGCTATAAATCGTTGCAGTCTCCAACAAGTCAATAGGTTGCTATAGACCTATAGACCTATAGACCCATAGTCTCTCCAGCTGATGCACTTACGTTGCACAAGCCACAATAGCACATACACATACTTCTTGTGCCAGTCATATGTTTATAGTATCTATTTCTCATTTACAGTATTTATACATGGAATCATAATCTAAAACATAACAAGTCGGTTTTGTTTGAGTAGACTCATATTATTAGTGTATTAAAAATACAGACACCATAAGGACATAGCAAAACTCTAAGATTCAGTATATATGTGTGCTGCGTGGATCAGTGGTCAAATCAAATGAAAAACAAAAACATAGTTTACAGATGAAGCCACAAAGTATAAAAAGAAGATAAAACCATAAGTTCCTTTCACTACAATATACTACTCTTTCACTATTCACTACTGTTTGTATCACTTGCTCTTCTGCTCTTCTGAGGTTTAAAGCACCTTCAGAATGCCAAAGTTTTTCCTGTTGTCTTCTCCATTTTCTGTACACTTAGTCAAAAACTACCCAAACTTAGTTAAAATTTAGTTGCTTTCTGTAATTTCCAAAGCTTTTTATACTGTAGAAGGGATAGATTTACTGTGATTAAAATAAAATTTCTCCCACCCTAGAAATAAAAGACAAAATTATTTTTATTTTCATAAAGAATATGATTTTAATTTAAAGTCAGGACCTACAAAAAATTATAAAACTTATTTCTTTCAGTCCAGTTTCTGCAACTCCACCTACATATACAGTTAACTCAGTGCAATTTTAATACAGATAAGAGATATTTAGAGACATTTAGCTAGACACATTTATACTGCTGAGAGTTAGGGAGGATATTTGTGTATGCCAGGGAGTTAGATACTGAATGTAAACAAATCCAGCTATTGCTGGTGCAGAAATACAATTGCAATTTTTGTGCAATTTAATGCTATCTGAATAAAATCATGCTTGTTCATTCCAGAAGCTACCTATTTGGCTTTGAAATTTGTTTTCTTTCACGTGGAGCCCTTGTGCCTTATTCCGCAAGGCACTGGGAATATAACATAAATCGGAATGGAACATTTCGATGCTTTCCTAAGTACKCAATTGTTTCTTTCCTAAATATTCAAGGGTGAGAAAATTTGACAATTTTTTCATTTTGGAACTTTCAAATTTCTAATAATTTCAATTATATAATTATTCATTTATTATAGTGTTATTTATTTTGCTGCTACTGTCTGTTCAAGCATAGTAATAAGTGACTAGACCAATTTTGTGAAACCCTAAGAAATTTCAATTACTGTATATCCTGGTAACATGACTATTTTTCTCTTTAATGCCTTAGATTTAATATTTCTATGCAAAGAGATTTAAAAGCCCGAAGAAACCATTTCTGTGGCTTTTTAGATAACAGCTATGTATCAAGTTCAACTCTGAATATTGTACTTACCAGGAAAGTTWCTGTGTGTGCTTGATATGTTTTTATGGTATATTTTATGTATTGATCTAGGATACTTGATGTGCACAGTGACTTCGTGAGTGCCTAAAATAGTGGGTCCCCACAGCTGCGTTTCCTCAATTGGTGCGCAGTCCATAAATGTAGGATCCTCCTGCAAGATGGCCCTGTTCCTCCCTTGTGGAACTGTTCTGGTGGTTCCTCCCTTGTGCCTTTTCTAGTGTAAATGTGGCTGAGACAGCTCTCAGAACTAACAAATTTTTTTTGAAACTCAGCTTTCAGCTGCATCAGTTCCCTGAACTGTTTTGGTGCCTGGTGTCAACAAGCACCAGTGCTGGTGAAAAGGAGGTGAGCAGGAATGGGCAGCTAAAGTCAAAGTATCCTTCTTAGGCATTAGGCTGGCTTAAACTAATCGCAAATTTGCAACCTTATCTTGCCATCTCCTAGGCTAAACTTTTCTGTTGGTATTCTTTAAAATTCAAGTGCCTTCTTCCTACTGGGTGCTTGTAAGGCCATTGGGCATCTAATTCCTGTCAACTTTGAAAATTCTAGCTGTGATAGAGCAAGTCACATCTAAACAAATAAAAGACATCAAAACAAAAGACCTAGGAGAATAGGTTCATACTAATAGAACTGCTGTAATTGTATTCATTCAACCAGAATTCTAAAATAGTAAATATGCACAGAGCAATTTAAGCTGCACCCTCCAATGTACCTGTGTACTACTATAAAAATCAAGCTGCAGAATCAGGGTCATGCAGCAACTACTGTAGCTCTCATGCAGAATCAGGTAGCCTTAAGAGAGAATTTGTGTGCGTGCATGTGTATGTTAATGATAGGAAGAAATGTCAGTTAATGTTAGGTTAGAAACAAGAAATGAAATATTTCAAGAAAAAATATATATAAATCTCTTTTTCTGCTTTTGCCTGCAGCTTCGTCTGAAAGACCTGGACACTAAAGAAGACTTGGGCTTTTGCACTGAAGCCCAGTATCTATTTGGAGAAGATGGGTCAGAGACTGTGACAGAGCTAGCAGCAATCAGACCAGATAAGACACCACTTGGGGGTATGCTGTTGAACTAAGAAATAAATACATAATCAAATGCACAACCACACACAAAAAGTTATGAATTGCCTAAAAGAATAAACAAAATGGGCATTTTATGAAAGAAAGAAAAAACACCCAAAATTATTTCTGAAGGCTTGACTAAAACCTGTGTGTAATCTGTGGGGTCTTTACTAAGGTTTATTGCTCTTTGCCTTTTTTTTCAATTGTAAAGCAAATAACATGTATTGTTTCCACAAAGCTAAGTAGCAGTTTGAATGTCCAACAAAATACAAACGCCAATTAATATATTTCTTTTTTGAAGAAGAAGAGCAATTTACATGAGATAAGAAACTGGATTGTAGAGTTTAAAAAAATAACCACAAAATCATAATGGCAAGATTCTCATAAGCAAAAAACACAGTATTTTCTGAAGTTTTCTCTAAGATTAATTTCTCTTGCTGTAGCTCTGTTCCATTTTATCACTGTATTTAAAATATCTGTTAAAATATTTTTTTDTTCTGATTAGGTTATAAGCAATATTCATAAAAAAACTCTTATTCATTATTCTCTATGAATAGCCTTTAAATAAGGCATCAAAAGTATCTCCTTTCACTATTCAGTTGAAAGGTAGCCTACAAGTGGATTTGTATCTCAATAGCCTGTTATTTAATTCTTCACAGCATTTACATGACCCATGTAAAGATATCTTTGTCGTGCTGCCTCAAGAAATATGTACTACATAACTCATCAGTCAAAAGTCATAGCAAGCCATCCTTTGTGGTGAATAATAATAATGTATATGAATAATAGATGAACCATTTCTCCTGACCAAATTAATTGATAGTAGCTGTAATTATCTAATTGCCAGGCTAAAACAGAACGAAGCTGATACAGAACAAAAAATGGATTTCAATTTCATTATTGCTGTCCTTTTTTTTTTCTTTTGTAAAATGTTATTACAATCATAAATTTTAAATTTAAGATCATTAATTAATAAAAGAACTCAAGATTTGTTACAAAGTCTAATAAGACCAGTTATATTATTTCAATTGATTTCAGCGACCTCAGGATAACATTCCAGAACTAAGATAACATTTTTCYTGTTTGCAATGTGAGCATAGACTGTTACAGTGATTCACAAAGAACATTTCATCTCTGATACTTTACTGTGTTGTCATGATGTAGCTAGAAAACTGTATAAACCTCAGGTGGAACATTAATCTCAATTAGTATCTCTTCATTCCTTGGACTTGAAATTAATCATTTACCTGAGATAAATTTATTTATAATGCTTGGTAGCTACATTGATAAATACTACAGCTACATTGGTAGCTACATTGATTTGGCAATGTCTTGTTTCATTGACAGAAGTGCTTTATTCAATCAATGTTCATACGGGAACATTACCTGCATCAGGGACTGATGCAGAGGTTTTCATCACAGTTTTTGGAGAAAAAGGTGATTCCTGCAGAAGGAGAATAAAGCACTCAAATCTTAAAAGAGGACAGGTTAGTACTGAAAAATTTTACCCATCTTTTTGATGTGTTTCTTGTTGCTATTGTCTTCCAGTGCCTCTTTTTTTTTTTTTTTTTTTTTTTTTTTCTATCAAGTGCATTAACAGGACACTGCAGTAACCTGTGGAGTAAATGTGTCACTTAATGATTATAGGCATTTTACCTCAGTTTGGATTAGAATTTAAAAAGAGTGCCAGTAATAACAAGCTTAAAAACACAAAGCACGGGTAACAGTAGAAACCAGAATTGAACCCATATATATACATATATAACATTCTCTGACTTAATATTCACGACTCTGAAGTTTTGGTAGAAATACTAGGGCTCTTTCCCATAACTTTTACTTCAAAATCTATTTCCTAAAAGATCTGTCCAGATATAGCTCATGTGTTTGTTAATGTTATTTAACTGATTAAAAATAGAATTGTAAACAGGTAAAGATGTCTGTAAATGTTAAATTAGAATTACCTAAGAAATTCTTAAGGGGATCTTAAGATTAAATCTTAAGGGAAAATTCTATGGTCAAACTTAGCCAGTTAACATTAATGTCCTACACAATAACCAGCACATGTTCACACATACCCTGGACTCAGCCTGGGTATGACTAGGTGCGATTCCTAAGAGACCTTTCTCTTGATCACTGCACACTAAGTCAGGATCCTCTATACTTATTTCATGAGATTTTCTTAAGATCTTTAATGACTGAGATACTTTCCTAGGCAATCTGTTCTACTGCTGTGCTATCCTTAGCTATCATTAGACAATTTTTTCTTTATTTGCATTATAATGTCAAAATATTTTATCAAACATAGAAACATATAAGGGTGGCTATATTGGTTCATCACAAAAACTTATCAAGTCCAGGATTTCCTCTCTGATAATAGCTAATTGCAGACTTCCAGGGAAGGCTACAAGGAAGAAATGGGAGAAACATATTGCCCAAGCTGTTCATCTAGAGTTTAGTGATCCCCAGATCACATTCTTTTCATATTCTTTAACCAGAGGTGATATTCTAGCATTAATAGCCATGGGAAAATTCTTCTTAAATGAATTTTTATAATCTCTTTTAAACATTATTAGCATCCACAATGGCATGTAGCACTGTAATCTGCGTAAACCTTGCACATGTTAGTTTAAACTGATGGGCCTATTTTTTTATTGGAAGAGACTGAATTTACTCTCCTTTACATAGCTCAAATAATCCAAGATACTTTGTGCCAAAGAGATTGCAGATGGTGAAGGCACTGCACACTGTCATGGAAGACAATATCATTGAGTGCTGTTAAGTAGAAAGATGCAAACTTTGCTCAGGAAATCCCTGACTCACAAATTACCAAAGCCTGGGAGTCCATAAATTCATATTGAGAATGTATCTCTATATTCTCTCTTATTTTATATTCAAGTATCTCTKTGTACAATCTAACTTTTTATAAGCTCTTCCTTAGAARTATATTAGTGGCAACTGTAGCAAAYACACTATTTAGTGGACGAGTGGGATCTGTGTGTGTTCTTACATAGTACTATCAGTGGTTCTCCTTACAAGACATAGATTTATAAAAASCTCAGAATGAGGTTTTAGTGACAGTATATAAGAAATGGAGATGGAAGAAAGGAATGAGAATGGCAGACTGTCTTGAGGGACAATATTCCTGGAAAATATGGAAAGAATGGTCAAAGAAAACAAAATTAAGAAAACTTCAGAKGTAGGGGAAAAAAAAGTATCTTCCTTGACTGAAAAAAGTTTGGAATATGAGGACAAGCAAAAAGACTATAATATCAGCAAAATAGGGAGAAAAACGCTCATTTAATTTTTACAAAAAGTAAGTCTGGTTTATATTTATTTAAGCAATAAAGTTTAAGCAATAAAGTTTAAGCAATAAGTTTAACTAATTCACCAATTTAATAGGTTAAATAAGCGGAGAATTGTAATTTTTTCTACCTAAGACTGTCTCTAAATCAGGCAAACCAATTTAAATAAAATCATTTTGATTTTCATTAGTTATACTTCCAGTGGTATGTTTAACGTCATCCCAAATGTCTTTACACTGACAGAGAGGAAAAAAAAAAAAAAAAAAAAAAAGAAATATAGTGATATAAACCAAAAGTACATTCTCGCTAATGCTGAAGGAGTAGCTAATTTGATATATTATTATGATAGCATGTCATAATAATATATATGGTATATATGATCATATATCACTGATAATGATTTGTGAATGAGACCACTGTTGTGTAATGACTATTAATTATTATCATAAAGACTAATGTGAGAGTAATTATAGATCCCTCTTTCATATGTAGTTGACTGTGAAGGACCAAAAAAAGTAGCAATACAGGTTATTTCCTCTAAGTCGAGGGTCATGTAAACTAGAAAGAAAATTATGTTTGGCTTTGAACTAGAGAGAATAAAATTTAAAAGCAATTTGTGCTCCCAAAATATTATTTACAAGCTGTTCCTCACAGTCCTATCCTATTTTGGGCTACTTGTGAATTACATGAAGGTCTGTAACTTGCCATGGTAACTGTTTGGAGAGATCATGGATATGTCAAGGTAAGAATGCTGGAAATCCTGGAGCTGTGATAGGAATAATAACTCTGAGGTATTCTTTTTCTGAGCACATTGTAGAGACTAGTTCTACACAGGCGAGCGAAAGGACCAGATGACATAATTCTTTTTAAAAATCATCTCATCTTTTGTTGCTTTCTGCTCCTCATGCTTTTTCCTGCCTGGTGGCAAATTGGTTGCCAACAAATAAAAATTACAGCGTCTGTTTCTACTATCCATCTGTTTTTTTTTTAATGTCACCCACACATATGCCCATGTATCTGCCCACTCACTCATATTCTCTCCTGTGCAGAACACATTCATTCTCTCGCTCATATAATTTATTCATCCCAACATGCACTCGTGCAGTTGCCATTTAGCTTTTGTTTACTGGTAGCCGTAGCAATATTTAAACAGATGTCTATTTACATCTGAAGAGCACATCAATTCTTGTGGGTGTGTATGCACAGCCTTAGTTATACTTTCTAATGTCAGTATCATCCTTTGTTTGCACAGTCATCAGCAGTGTCAGTATTTCTGTTCAAAGTTGAGTAACACATTTCCCATCTGAAAAAAAAAAAAAAAAAGACTTACAATATAAAAGATTTTGAAATTTTTAAAATAAAATGCCTTATTTAAATCAAAGTTCCATTTACCAGTTGTGTTCTGACATTCCTAGTACTCTGTCTGGTTCAGCTATGTGCTATTGGTAAAGCAAAGACTACACAGCCTTGCTACCACTTTTATTAGACCCCTGCAAGTAAATTAATGATCTGAGGTTTCCCTCCATCCAAACTTCTTTAGGGTACTTTTTGTAATACAACTGAGATGTAGTGATAATGAACAATGGAAAATGCGTATATTCTAGGACCCATACATTTATGAATTATAAGCTCCCCAAATATGAATTCCTGACATTATTTTCCTTTACTATCAGGAAGAAAAAAAAGTACTTCAGATTGAAAGGAATCTGTCTTTCCAAGCATAAATATGTTCCTAAAACAAACAAGAATCTGTCTTTCCAAACAATCTTGGTAAGGATGTTTCTAAAATGAATGAGTTAATCAATATTATGCTGTTAATTTTGCCTTTTCTTTCCCAGGTTAGTAGGTCTGAAYTGAGAGCAATAGACCTTGGACTCTTAAGCCAAGTGCTTGTTGAGCACAGTAATGTGGGTTATGGAGCTGGATGGTATCTGGACAAAGTTATCATCCATGAATCAGGCAAGACTGATGACCAATATGTGTTCTTATGTCAGCAATGGTTAGACAGCGGAGTTGGTGATAAACAGATGGAACGAATGCTGAGACTTCTTGGAAAAGTCAGAAATGAGATGCTGACAGGGAATATTCRTGGTAAGATCTAGAATCATCAAAGCTGGATTAGGCTTTTTGTTTTAATTGTAACTGGCATTTTTTTCAGGTTATGTTTAAGACTAAAACAGAAATRTAACTTAGATGTGAATAGCATCTTTCAGATAAACTCTACAACCAAACACTTTCCAAGGCTGCTAAATAAATTTAAAATGGTCAGAGAATAAAGACTAATATTAAGTGATGGAGGCAATGAAGAAAGTACATTTTCAGTTGAGGCTTGTAAAAAGATGTAGCAGAAAGAGGTAGGTTGCTCCATATGGCAGTCAATGCAGAGCAGAAGGCTCCTGCAACACTGATGATATCACAAGAAGCAACACAGAATCTCTTCTTTTAGCAGAATGAAATTTTCCCGTATGTTCACATATTTGCAAAAGCATTTTGCTTTCACTTGCAGTTTTCTTTTTTACTTATATCAATGTCATGAGTTGTTGCAAATAGTTACTTGACCGGAACACAATATTCTATTCAAAATGTTTAAAGAAGAGCACTAAAACTCAGAAAGAACTTAGACACTAACAATTTAGACAATTGAAAATGTCTTCTATTCTTTGCCATAATGCTGGTTTTCTTAGCTCTGTCGTATGTCATTTATAGAGATATAAAATGTTGTTTTAGATAAATTTGTGAAATTTAAATTAGAAATAGTAGATCAGCCTATGTTAACTAATCCAAAGTTGTGCAATCAGAATCAGCAATTTTTAAAATGATCTACGTTAATTTTTATGCTCATAGGTATTCCATTTTATGCTCTGAGATTTTTATATTACGCATAATTGCAGTCACAGATAGTAGGATGTATTCTCTTATTTAGATACCTATTTTTGGTCAAGTAGCAGATATTTTTCATCATCAAATAGAATATAAAAATGATGTTGCAGAGAAAACAGAATCGTATGATCATAGGATCTGTGGGCTTGAGCTAATTTCATGAAAATAATGGCAATATAAGAAATACCTATATGGTATCATTGAAAATATTCCCAGGCTCTAAAAAATTAGTCTCCTTTGGTGTCTCATATAGACACAGAATAAGGCAAGCTTCTCCCCAAGTTAATGMAGAGCATCAGTTTACAGTTGGGTAGAATCTGTCTTTGTTAGCTGATAATATAAAAAGTGTGAGAAAACTTGTGTCCTTATTTGTAAAACTTAAGCATTATCTGAATGTATCTATGCAAAAATGTTCTCCTTCCTCCGCTTCCCACACACAGTCCCCAAAATTTTGAGCTCAGGCTTGCTAATATTTGCCAATATTTTCCAAACCTATGATTAGTAATATTCAGTTCTTTCTCTATTCAAAGTCACTTCTGTTCTTGATATATAACTTTAGAAAAAATATTACAAATAAGCAAAGAGCCTAAAAGAAACAGGAAAAAAAAAAAAAAAAAAAAGCATCAGCAAAGCGTATTACATCTTAGGGAGTCAGAAAGTATAAGGATAAAGTGGGACTTATTAAATATCAAGCCGAGTCAGACTTTATAAGAGATAAAAGAATACTTTATTTCCATTGAGGACCCATACTGTTTCCACTGAGGACCCATAATTATCCATAAAAGGACAAGTGCAGGGTCCTGCACCTGGCGGGGGGTAACCCCAGGCACCAACATAGATTAGAGGCTGACCTGCTGGAGAGCAGCTCCACAGAGAAGGACCTGGGAGTCCTGATAGACAAGTTAACCATGAGGCAGCAGTGCCCTCATGGCCAAGAAGGCCAATGGGATCCTCACTGTATCAGGAAGAGTGTTGCCAGCAGGTCAAGGGAGGCCTTGGTCATGCCCCTCTCCACAGCTCTGGTGAGGCCGCACCTGGAGCATTGGGGGCAGTTCTGGCCTCCCCAGTATAAGAAGGAAGTGCAAATTCTAGAGAGGTTCCAGCAGAGGGCAACAAAGATGATTAAGAGGGTGGAGCATCTGTTCTACGAGGAAAGGCTAAGTGAGCTGGGCCTAGCTTGGAGAAGAGAGAGAATCTGATCAGTATGTATAAGCATCTGAGGGGAGAATGTAGGGAGGAAGGGGCCAAACTCTTCTCAGTGGTGGGCAGTRATAGGACAAGGGATAATGGGTGTAACTTGAAACACAGGAAGTTCCATCTCCCTGTGAGGAAGAACTTCTTTCATGTGAGGGTGACRGAGCCCTGGAACAGGCTGCCCAGGGAGGTTGTGGAGTCTCCTTCTCTGGAGGTCTTCCAAACCCACCTGGATGCCACCAGGTGCCCTGTGCTCTGGGTGCCCYTACTGGAGCAGGGGGTTGGACTAGACGATCTCTAGAGGTCCCTTCCAACATTAACCGTTCTTTGAGTCTATGATTCTGTAATGTTCGTAAGGGAAACAAAATCAAAGGTACTCACAGGAATGAAGCAACTGGAAATCACCAAATCTGAAATACAAATGGTGCTCTGAGAGTTTCATGTAACCTCCACGGTGTCAAGCAAAACAGTTTCTGTACTGAAAGAATGTGAGAGAACAGGGAAAAGAAATAGCAGATCTGATAGTCAGGAAATAACTTTATAAAGACAAAAGATGTGACTTGAAAACAGCAAACACAGTATCTATTTTTTAAAAATGGAAAGCATAATATTGGTTATAAATTAAATTTAATTATAAATTTAAAATTGGAAAACATAATAGACCTAGTAATCAATCATATGCAAAGAAGAAATACATTGTGAGTTTATTAAAGATAGATTGAGAAACAATGTTGACAAGCTGATACTTTTTTGGAAATATTCTCTCACAATAGGAGAAATGCAATGACATAAAAAGTGTCTAAATTTCAGTACCGATTTTAATTGCTTAATRGAAAACTACTAGGTAATAATTAGAAAGTAGAAAGTAGTAGAAAATTGTGATGAGCGAGAGAAAGGAAAATGGCAATGCAAATGCAATTTGCTGATGCTAAAATGTCAAGAAATATTATTAGGAGCATTAAGTGGTTGTGTAATATACTTAAAGACCTTGAGAACTGGAAGAAAAACATTGGAATGGAATTCTGTACCACAAAGCTTGAACGCAACTGGGACCAAATCCTACTAAGGAGGATTTGTAGCTCTTAATTCTTACACAAGTACTAATCCAAAAAAAAAAAAAATTAGAAAAAAAAAAAAAGTCTCTGTATCTCCACACTTGTAATGTTTTACTATAAGAGTTCATCAATGGCAACTGAGTAGGAGAAATACCTGGGCATCTTATGTGATCACAGGATAATATTGAGAAAGCAATGTGATGTGCTTATGAGTAAAGCAACTGTAACCTTACATGCATTAAGGCATTGTCCATAAAGATAGAGAAGAAATAATAGAATAGAGAAGAAAGAAACAGTGATATTTCATCTGGAGTGCTATGTACAATTGTGATCACTTGTGTCCAAAAAGCCTTGCTCATATTACAATAGTTGTAAAGCAGATATAAGATGATGATAAGGGATGCAGCAAACATTACCTACGAAAGGTTATAGAAAAAGCTTGGTGTAATTAGACTAGCAGATTAGTAGCTGAAAATGGATGCAGTTGTGATCTATCAAATTAATGGGGATTTACCCAGCAAGGAGGAGGGAAATGAATTATTTAAGCTAATAGATGTAGTTACATAAAAATAAATGTGTTCCAGCAGTCCATTAAAGTCATTTTGTAAAAATTAAAATATTTCTATTCAAAAGAGAGCGAAATTTTGCCATTGTTGTTYTTAAGACTTGACTAAAAAGAAGTTTTAAAGTAGCTGCTTTCAAACTAAATCTTGACAAATATATGAAAGAGATTATATGATAAGGTTAACATAGTAGTAGAGAATTGGGCTTTATGATCCAATAGATAACACTTCCAGGCCTGTGTTCCTAGGCAATTATCCATTGACAGTTTAAAGGCTATTTCATCACTAAGAAGTTAAAATATCTTGGATTATGTTAATGGGAATATGGTAAATTTTCAGTCCAATTCCATTTTTGATGGATATCCTTGGTTTCATTTATTTTTAATGCTCATAGACATAAAAATGATAGCTATTTATGATTAGCAGTGAAATCATAACCATTGAAGGTATTTTATATCACTTTAAGATATGTGAGTGCCAATTTTTTACCGTCACAGAGTTCTGAATTCACAATATGGATCTTCATCTTCTGTAAATTCACAAGGCTTTATTTACAGTAATTTTCACTAGACCAAAAGGATTTGCCTGTGTTGATTTTAAGTCTGGACTTTGCGGGAGAAATATGACAATAAACTCAGAAAATCACAATATTCATTACTTTGAGTAAAATTGGCTTTATTTTACAAAGCAAMTATTTGAAATTATAAAAAGCAACTTCTGGATTACTTGGCATAAGCAGAACTTGGTAATCTTACTATCATACTAAAAATCAGTTGTGCTCTATTCTGCACCAGCCCAGATGATAAAAGCCTCTCTGTAGAAGTCATGATTTTTTAAGTTGAAGTGATGGTCTTGATGAGCCCTGAGAATTCCGTGTATTCTGTTGTCATGAATGAACTTGTTAAAATCAGTTTAGTCAGTGGGAATTTTTGACTGGTCCAGGTTTTTGGTTCTCCAAAATGACTTGCTAATGAGCAGTTTCACTGAGCACATTAGAAAGAACGGGCTGTTACAGAATCATAGACACTAACCCAGGAGCCTATCTGTTCTGAGTCTTTAGCCCTTATGAGCCTTTAGATGACTTCCAATTCAGTTAGAGCATTCAAAAGACAAGTRCTTCAAAGCAGATCGTTAGTTTGAATGTTAATTGTTTTTCTTTTTCAATATTATTTTCCATTTTTCTTAAAAAGTAAAACTCTTTATAAGAAAGTTTGAGTGTTTTCTGTTTCTCTAAAGAAGAAAAAAGTCTCCATGACTAATTTCTCTATAAAGATCTCTTTTGAAGAACAGATAAATAAAGTTTTGTACTTCACTGGAGTGATAGTTTTAGCTACTTTTGATAAATATGTCACACTTTAGGTTTTAGATCAGTTTATCTCGTCAGCACCTTGCTGAAGAATATCGGTAGCAAAAAATAACATTGTTTTAAATTGTTCCTGAAACAGTTGAAATTACAAAAAAAAATGCAAATATGATTGTGAATAATATCTGTTAGAAAGTATGCTGCTTTTGATTGCTGATAAATCAAAAAAAAAWTAAAATCATTAGATAAATATTTATGAGGGAAAAGAGACCAGTGAATCAGCATGGCCCTTCATAAGTTTCTAACATGTAACTTTCTAACTTTATAATTTATGCAAGCTTAAAAAAAGTTAACTGACTTTCATTAGTTTCTAACATAGCTGTCTTACGTGCATGGTCCTAACAGATCGTATGATCTTTAAAGGATCACCTATCTCTATTTAAAAGGCGCGATCCAGATCTTTTTCTCTCTGTGTGTACTAAATTAGTGGATTTATTATATTTCAAAATTCTATCTCAATGAGAAAGTAGGATTGAGTTTCCAGAAACAACCTAACTCATTCTGTTACTGATTCCTGTATTATTTTGGACATTCAGCCAATCTATTAATTATTTTCTATTTTTTTCTTCAACAGGAACTTGGGATGTCTTTGTCACAACTACTGATGTTTCTTGCATTAGTCCTACAATGTCTCTAACTGTATGTGGTGAAAAAGGTACCTGTAATTCAGTCACATTTCCCAAAGGATCTCTTAAAAAAAAACAGATTTACAAGACTTCAATTGAATTAAGTAAGAAATTCAGTACTATACACAAAGTTCGCCTAGAAATTGAAGAATCTGGAGAAGGAGGGACTTGGCATTGCCGTGAGGTAAAAAACTAATCATAATTATAGATTATGAATTAATTATAAAATTCATTTTTTCATATACTATGAACTATACTATATACTGTTTCAAGTGGATTTCTAGAGGGCATATATACTGATGTGCCATTATCTTTAGCATATCCAGGGGCCCCTTTTCAGAACTGTAGCCACTGACATTCATAGCGGTATTTACATAATTTCAAATTGGCTGTTGCATGTAGTGGACGCACTGATCCAAGGCAAATAATTAAGTGAGACACTGGAAATGTCTTTTGATGAAAATATCTGCCATTTAAGTTGGCATGTGAAAAAAAGAAATGAACAACAAAAGTGACAATTTTTCTTCTGATGTCCAAGATGCTGAAGCTAAAATCTGGCATCACTCTGAAATTGCTGTGGCAGTCAGTATACAAAAAGTATCTTTATCCTCTTATCCTGGCAAAATGAAAAGAAGTCTAAGSGAAAGAATCATCTTCTTTCAAACTACAACTACACTTTTTCCCTTAATATTTGTATTTTGTTCTCATTAAAAATTGGAGATAGAATAATTTTCATTTTTGATGTGTGATATTAGAAAGCTGAACCTCCTGACATTTGACTGGTAGGCARTTTGTTAATTTTGTCTTCCTAGACAGATAAAATATGCCTTAGTAACAAATCTATTGATAAAATTAAGGCTACTTCTTGGAGATTATAGGAGACTGGATCACAGTGCTATGTGACAGAAACTTGGCACTTGTAAGCAGTGACATCTATTAGCCTGCATTAAGTCATAGCAATGACTCAGTGCTAAATTAGAGGAAAAAAAAAAAAGAAAAAGAAACACCTTTGCTTAAAAGGATAAAGGTAATATCCACATTTACATCAGATAGGACTCTAAAGAGGAAGAAATATAGCCTTTTCTGCCCCATTGTTCCATAGATTTCATAGCCAGACTGAATGACTCCTTAGGTGAAATATCTAAGCTGGGCATAGTATCTATTATCAAAGACAGGTTAGCAATCTATTTAAACTGCTGGTCTGAACCAGGATGGTCATTTCTATGCTATTTTATTTTGATTTTACAAGACCAGACTTCATTGAGTTTTCCCCTTTCTATCACAAGTAAATGCAGATAATTGGTTGAATTCCATATTTAGGTTCAGAATTCACTTTTATAACCATCACTGAAAAACAATCATTTCAAATAATTTCCTGATAGCAAAACCTATATCATTTTTTTTAGGCATTCAAAATATTTAGTAATATAATCAATGTGATGCATACGTATATATGATATACATATCATATATGTATGTACTGAACATGCCTGAATCCTACTTTTTTTTTCTCCAGCTACTCTGAAGGAGAAAACATTCAACACTGAAAAATGTTACTGACATTTCTCAAAGTGGAAAGGGGCCCGTAGACCTTTCTTTTTCACTCATATACTGGATAAATAAGTTACAAAAAGGAACCTTTCAGAATCTTTCCAAAACATAATTCCCCCTACCACAATCTCTACAGCAATAATATTGGCATCATTTTATTTTGGAAGGTCTTTATTCTGTCCTTTTTAAAAATAAAGTTTTAGAATATTTTYTCTTCTACTGTATTATTGAGATAATGTGCTCTCTCTCATCTGTGAGTAGTAGCCTCCTGCTATATAGCAGTCTCCTGCTATGGTTTGTGTTAGAGCCCGTGACACAGACACTACAGCTGTTTCTTTTTGTTCTCCACTTAGGTAAAGCTTCAACACAGAGAAAGTAAAAATATTCTAGAATTTCCTTTCTCTCGCAACTTTGCAGATGGTGAAGGATTAACAGTGGCAGAACTTCCAGTCCTCACAGCTGGTTTGCCTTTTCCAGCAGGTTTGTTGCAAATCAGAAACACTGGAAAAATTTGGTCAAGATTTTCACAATAGTCCAAATGACTTAGCAGATACTTTCTATTCATTCTAACCAGTGAGGCACGACTAGGTGCAGTCTACCCAACTGTTCAAAAAAGGCTCAGTTTATTTGTTTAGTTGGGCATTTTTCATTCCACATCTGATTGATATGGTTTTGCAACATGTAAAAGACATGCAGWAAAGGGTTTTGAACAGAATTCAGAGTTAAGCTGTTAAGCTTTTYCTTATCTAGTTCTTTCTCAGAACAAAGGAAAACCAAAGGTAGTAAGTCTCATAGTGTAATTTCAGATAAGAAAGAGATCCATAGCCCCTAACACCATAAACTTTGTTTTCCTAGAATTTCAAGCATTCTCTAATGAACTAGTAGTAAAATATCTTAAAATGCCCTTGTATGAGTTGTGTCTTCAACATCTCAAGACTAGATTATTTTAGTTTACTCTCTGTACTTAAGAGAATTCATAACCAGACTTTGCAAAGAACGCAGCAGTTCTTATCCTGAATGGATATTCTGCCAAGAGAATATCCTAATCCCTTCTATTTTTTTTCCAGGAATTTAAGGGTTTTGTGCAGTAGCCCAGTGCATACCTTTTTTCCTATATTTCCATAGCTAGCCTCAAGAAAGACACTTAAACAGAAGCTCTATGAAGATGAAGAGTGCTGCTGGGATATTCCCTGAAAAGGCACCTTGCCGCTTCAGCACTTTCATCTTTTTCTAAAGGAGCACAGATGTTTAAAACTAGGAATATTCTTCCTGTTTCTGAGGAGCACTTAGCAAGAGGACAGATACTGTTTTTTTCTACCTCCTTCCCACAGTCATTAYCTTTTTAATGGAAAGTTCTGGGCTTTTTGCTTCTTTCTTACATCTGAGGCCACATCACCGCATCGTCTGCATCGTCTTATGCATTTCTCTGGAGTGTAAATGTGCACTTAATATAAACAGCCAAAAATGCCCAAATGAGGAATCATAATAAGTTGTCAGAGAATACACAACCATACTTGTAACAGTCTGCTAAAGCAAATAGCTGAAGTAGGACAGTGTGGAGAGTGGACAACTGTGATTGGACCACAATTCAGAGGAAATACMAAATTTGCCCTTTTTCTMTCTGAGCTCGKTTTCAGTTAAATCCAGTGAGGCTCGGAACAGGCACAGTGAGGCTGTGCTTTTTATGTAATTTAGTGTTGTTCATGCCTTAGGAGACAATTCATAGGAGTGCTATAAATTTAMATACATACAAGTGTGTGGTAGAGTATTATTTACATGTTTTTGTAACAACTGGTGATGTGTTCATTATCATCTTTCACTTTTTCTTTTTCCCTGTGTTCCATGCCCACTCACAAACTGTGGTTATTAATTGCTTGTTTTTTCTAATTACAGTGGATCCTAAATTTTAATTACAGTGCTTCTACGTRCTTTTTTAAACATCATAATTTTATTTGCCCTTTGAGCGCTTTGGGAGGGAAAAAAATAATAATAGTAATTTATTGTATTTTTGTTTACTAATTAAGCTTCTTAATATTTTTTTTATTAGTTCAGCTTTAGTACTTCTTTCTTTTTTTCCCCTTCCCAAAGTGAAAAACTATGTCCTCTACATCATTACGGGAACATCCGCTGGGGCAGGAACAGATGCAGATGTATTTGTCATGTTGCAAGGTCTTTGGGGAGATACAGGCAAAAGAAAATTAGTAAGAAAAGGAGATGATCATTTCACTAAAGGAAAGGTAAGCATCTCATTTCTGTATGATATTTTTTCCCGATTTTTTCCAGTTCATTTGAACTTAATGAAAATATGGTGGACCCTCTGAAGTCTTGTTTGCAAATGCCCTGTGTTTTAAGTGTACATGTGTGTGCATAGCCATATCGATATGTTAAGCAAAATATACTGATGCTTATGCAGTCTATGCCAACAATTCTGATAAAGAGATAAAATAAATGAAATGACAATATCAAGCACTTCTAGGTTTAATTTTGCCAATGCTGAAGGTTTTTGATTGCATGCCAGTGGCTTTCCTGGGTATTTGCTGACAATAGAGCAATGAGTAGACTCTATTTCCATTAATTGTTCATTTTTCGCTTGCCAGTTTTCAGGGTAGGGCTCCTTTTCCTACTTTCTCTGGGTTCAGTTCTTGTCCCCTACACTGTACAAAGGAGAGAGTCTCCCTCTTCATAGATATAGACCAGGCAAAGCCCAGTGTTACTGCCAGAGATGTATTTACCTGCACCATAGTAAATACAAACAGAAATTTGAGAGAATTTAGCTACTAAAACAACCACAGAAATGGAGAAGAGTTACAGTAAAAAAAAGCATGTCGTTGACACAAAACCTTTTTGAAAGCTCTAGACTGCAAGAGTGAAACTTGCAGATAAAAAGGTACTAGATTTTTTTAAACATGCAGTAAACTGTGTGTCGTATTTTTTGCAGGCTGCTATTTTAAAATAAGGTTCAACATTAAAACAATTAAGAAAAAGAAAGATTCTGAAATAAACATTTGTTCAAAAAAAATAATTTGGGATAGAGTTTATCAAAATGAAAATTTAGTGCCTCATAATCAGAAGCACATTTTACAATTTACATGTGTCTTATAATGTGTATGCTCTTATACCTTCCTGAAAGCTTACTGCATACTATGACTATGATACTCTAACTACTCCTTGCATTGGTTTAGAAATATGCATGTAAACTATTTCCTTCTGCTGACCAGTGTCAGTCACAGTGACAGCGTTTCTCTAAGGAAGTCAGCTGTCAGATCGTCTTGTGTTGATAACAAAAGCAGAGACATGATATATAAGATCTGGAGGATGTCCTAACTACCTGTGAATTCTATGGAAGTTAGAGAGGGTCATTCCCTGCTAGATTTGACCCATTTTAAATTAATATTCGTAAGATAATGGAGAGACTTTAAATCTTTGCTTTGAAAGGCACTAAATATTTGTGGAAAAGGCGTAATCATTTTCCTTAATTTTGAAATACAAATTATAATTTATTGATAAATTGCGTTTGAGTTACTACATATTTGAGATACATTTCTTTTGGTCTCATGGAGTAAAATGAGTTTAATGTAAATGAAATTGCTTTTAGCAAAGTAATTGAAAAGCATAGTAAACTCTTGATTTGCTCCTTGTCCAGTGAAAATAAAATAAAAATATTTGATTAATCAATTAAAACTATATTGATTCTGCAAGCAAGACCCTTGCCTTTGCAGCAAYGTTTTGTTCAAGGCATGCTTTGGAAATTTCCCAATGTTTTCTTTGCTCTGTCTCTGAAGAGCCTCTCAAGTGTCGAATGCCTCTTTCTATACCAGCCCAGTCCCATATTGTGCTGAGCACTCCTGCAGTCAGAGAATCTGGACTTGGTGGTTTGAGGGATTTTGGATCATAGCAGACATGAAATTTGCATTCTAAATATTCACAGTTGTTCTGACATTTTAGAATGTGCTTTTCCTTGCAATAATTTTCCCCTTGATTATACAGTAACAGTTAGTGAACTGGAACAGTGTTTCTGTTAGCAATCACATCAAAATATGGTTTTAGTCTCACAGAACATCCGCACTTCTGCAAACAACATCTTAACAATGCAAGAATGCATAGAAATATTTCAATATTCTGAGGATCTTGGAGATACAGCCTTCTCACTTATCAGGTCTTTTATTTATATGAGGTGGGTTATGTGACAGTAAAGGATTAAATTAGCTTTTTATATCTGAAGAGTTGCCCTTGTGTCTTTCCAAAGTCCTTACACCTATGAAGCCATTTAGAACTGATGTGCATGAATTTTYCACTTCACCAGTTAGCTCTGTGTAGTTTACCCCGTGATGGAGGTAGTAACATGGTCACCAAGAAAGGCAAGTTTCCTAGTGATCCCTCAAGTAAATGATGCTAGGACCAGTGCTGCAAGCACTACATTTTTTTTCAAGTTGTTCTGACATTGGTGCTGGGTTTGACCTTCTCCTAAAAGCTATCAAGGTAGGCAGAGTGATCTCTGTGCACTTTTTTATGCAGTTCAACTTCTATGAATTGCTAGTACRCTTTATCCATATGTATGATTCATATAAATCAGTTTAATTCTGATAAATGCAACCAACTATAGTCTTCAATCAAGTGTAGTCAACACACATACATTTTGAAAATGCATGTTTTTTAGAACAATTCCATGAAAWATGGTAAAATATCCTAGATGTGTTCTGAGGAAGGCTTTTTAATATTTTAATCTCTCTGTGATGGAAATGATTGTTATTTTAAGTACTCTACTGCAACAGCAAAATCTCTGGGAATTTTTACTTCATTCTATTAGTTGTTGGAAAGAGAAATTCTTTATCCTGCCCTATATTTAGACATCAGCTGCTCAGGTTGGTACCATGGTAACTGTAGCGCATACAAAAACTGTCAGTAAGAAGTGACTGCTGGTGTTCAGTTTTGGTACTTTCTTACAGCTCAAGCATTGGTAATTTAAAGATTACTTCAGAAAAAAAAAACTAAAAAAAAAAAAAAAAAGCAAAGAAAAAAACCCTAAGAACACGAAATATGGCCAGAATGTGGGACAATATGTTGTGGTCACTGTTAAGAAGTTACTATTTGTCTGCAATGCCCATATCATATCACATCTAGAACTGTACTATTCTGTTACTTCTGATAAAACTGTCTTGTGGAAAGGGAAAGCATACCCGACATGATTAAATAATTGCGAAGTGCTRTTGACCCAAATATATTAATCTCAGTTATAGGCTGCCAGCCAAGATACTGTAGTATGGAAATGAACAGTAACATGGCTTGGTCAAAAAATAGGAGAATTATTCAGGTGAAAGTTAGGAACACATGGAATACCATCATAGAGAAAGAAATAGAGGTTGTCACAAACCATGAGAAGAAAACCAGAAAGACAGAACATGATTAAAGGTTTAGATAATCCTGGAASAGTGGAAAATATCTGGGCGCTGTATGTACTCACTAATTACACTGAGGTGGAATTTCACAGTCAGTAACAGATTTATAGGAGGTAAACATAGAACATACCTTTGAAATCATCTAGTTGGACTCCCCTCATAACATAGGCCATTGTATTAGAACTATGTTGGAAAAAAGTAATCTTGTTTTCCTGACATTTTTTCAGGCAAGAAGAAATATAAGACTTTGTTGCCAGGAATTAAAAAGTGGGCAAAATTAATTAACTCTAAAATGAATTACTTGGGGAGTTGTTCTCTTTTTACTTACATCTCAAAAATAAATTAAAGAAATCAAATGTCTAGAAAGAAGTTAACCTCATTTAGCTTTAGCTTTAAAGTGCATGTCTTTTCTAACATGATAGCTTGGGGGTTTTTTTCTGCAGCGATGGAGTGAAAGGGATTTTTTCCAGGAGGTGGCTACCTTCTTTATTTCAGACATTTATCTTAAAAGGGAATGAATTATCCTCAGAGGGTGCCTATTGCTTTCTCAGGAGCCTTGCTTTCCAGGAAATTTTGCCAACTATCTTACAATAGATTCTATTTTAGATCGGCAAAGTTAGTTGAGCAAATTCTATGCCAGATTTTTTTTTWAAATAAGAGTATTTTTAAAATAAATACATAAAATTCTCTTTAGTAAGAATACTCTTAAAATAAAAAACCACCTGCTTTTATTAGCTTAATTCATCATGAATTTAAAAGTAAGTATGATCAATCCAAGTCTGCATTTTTCAGCAAATAAAATATTCAATGACTTTTTCCCCAATGCAACATGAACTAAGTTAATTTTTGTTCAAGTCCGAAAGCTTTGATTGAGTTAAAGCAAATATTTTAGAAAAAAGAAAAAATACAGATTTAATAGCTTCGAGCGATGAAGGACCTGTATGCTTGGAAGGTAATTCTAAAGTATAMATATCTTTTCTTTCCAAAGGCTGGCACTATTTCTGTCTGTATTTGTCAAACTTTAATTGCTAGGTGCTAGATTTCTGTCTTTTTGGACATTTTTGATTTTTAGACTGATCATTCTTTTGCACCAGTTTTCTCTTTCCTTTGAAGATATTCGTGACAATAATCAAATCACAATGCTTGTCTTGGACAAGTTACATAGATTAAGCTGCTGGACTGACTGTACCGCAGGGTTTCCATTGATTTATTCACCCTCACAATTCTTTTCGGAGCCCTCTTCAATYCATCACTCTACTCCTTCAAGTGTCAGAACTGGAGATTGTTTTTGAGTCATCTGTAAAGTCCTGTTTTCCTCCAGTTACCTGCTACAAACATTAAACACGAATGAGGCTTGTGAACTAGCCTCACTGCAGCCCGCCTGCTCAAGAACTTTCTCCTTTCCGGCTGCTTTTGGAGACCAGCTGGTTACTACTCCACTCAGCCAGACAACTTGAGCCTGCCTGAGAGTTACTTGAATTTTGGATTCTTTTGTCTAAATCAAAGTGTTCTGCAATTAAATGGGTTACTGAAAAAGAAGCAAATAATATCCATCCTATTTTCTTTAACACTCAAATCAGATCTCCTACTATTATTACTGTATTAACAACCTTCAGGATGTCAGAGCCAGATAGGTTTGAATTTGATGCTTTTAACGTTTGTCTTTTTCTTTTTGAATATTATATCATATGTTTACAAATGTCGATGTGGCTGATGATATTGATATCTATAACAGTCCTTCTGCGTTTTATTAAATATATTTTACTTAAAGTCTTATTGAAATGCCTTTTATGACTTAGTTAATGATCATAGCTGCTGATTATTATAATATGCCACTAGTC